CTTGATGGAGAGAACCCTCCAAGCACCCTTCCTCGCCGCCGACAGCAACTGCGGTGATATCCCCGACTTCATCGGCGTTACGGGAACCCCTATCATCGACCCCAACACCGATATCATGTACCTCTTTTCAAAAGGTTACCGGGACGGAACCACCTCTGGTACTGCCAATGGAGTCTACAAGATGTACGCCCTTCGGATTCCGAGCCTTGAGGACGTTTCTGGCTTCCCGACTCTCATTGACGGTATCAATGCCGACAACGACCGTGGCCGGTATCTGGTTGGTGGTGTGGCCCTGCAGCGCCCAGCCCTGACGGAGCTCAATGGCCACATTGTTGCTGCATTTGGATCACACTGCGGTCGCTGGAACTACACCGGCTACATCGTCTCGGTCAGCAAGACTCCAGGAGTCGGCCCCGTGAGCATGTGGGCGACGGAAGCAGCTCCCGGCGCGCCTAGCCCCCAGGCTCTGGACCTTACCAATGAAAGAAGCGGCAAGGCAGGTATCTGGCAGAGTGGTATGGGTTTGCCCACCATCGGCAACAACGTCTACTTCGTGGCTGGTAACGGTCAAGGACATGCCAATGGCAATGTTCCGGCAAGCGGTAGAATTTCCATGTCAACCCTCGATGAGTGCATCGTAAAGATGGAGCTGTCGGCTACTGGTAAATGGTCTCTCATCGACTACTTCCAGCCCTACGACTATGTCGCGCTTGATGCCGGTGACCGCGACGTTGGCTCCTCTGGTCTTGCTGTCTTGGACGGTTCCGTATTCAAGGGCGCTGGTGTTAACCGCATCGGCGTAACTGCAGGAAAGAAGGGCAGAACGTACGTGGTCAACGCTGACAACCTTGGTGGATTCCGTCAGGCCGCAGACGGTGGTGATGGTGTTTTGCAGACCATTGAGCTTGGTGGCTCTCTGTATGGCGGCTTCGGCAGTTACCCTGCCGAGGGCGGCTACATCTATGCAACCACTGTCGGCGGTGCCCTTGTTGCTTACAAGCTCGGCTTCGACTCCAAGGGTGTGCCGCAGTTCAGTCTCGCTGGCCAGTCTTCCTGGATCTCCGCCGGCCGTGTTGGTGTTGGCCAAATGACAGTTACCTCCGACAATGGCAAGGCTGGTTCTGGAATCGTTTGGATTACTGATGTCAACACTGGTCTCATGGCTTTCAAGGCTATTCCTCAGGACGGCGTCATGGTTCCCATTACCCTTCCTTCGTCTCAAGGCACAAACAAGTACCAGCGTCCCGTTTTCGGCGACGGCCGAGTCTTCTTCCACGTCAACGCCAACAAACTCGTCTGTTTTGGTGCGCCGGTCAACTCTGCCGTCAACTGCACCTCTCCTCTTGACTTTGGCTCCCTGGAACTTGGATCTACCGCGAGCGCCACTGTCAGCTGTAAGGCCAATGTCGCCTTGGCCGGTGTTGTTGGATGCTCCGTCGCCGACGCGTCCTGGTCGTGCTCCAACTCGACTCTGCCCCAAGGCGCCGTGGCCGCGGGCACATCCTTCAACCTGAACGTGACGTGGAATCTCTCAAACACTGCCGCAAAGGTCGTACCCGGCTTCCTCACCAGTGCTATTACACTGGCTGTCAACGCCTCGGCAGACTATGCCGCGAGCACTTTTGTGACAGTTCAGGGCACCGTCGTCAAGCAAGGAGCTTTCCTCAAGGCGACTCCATCGGATATCACATTTGGAAGACTCGTACTGCGCGATTCACCCGACGGTCTCACCGCCACTGCTCTACTCCAGAACATCGGCAACGGCACCCTCACATTCACTGGATTTGCTTGGCAGGACACTACTGGTACCTACACCAACTTCACCAACGACGGCACTCTGGGCGCTGGATTCACTTCTTCGGGTTTCCCTGCTGTCGGTTCCACTTTGGACTCTGGAAAGAGTCTTTCGGTCCCTCTCCGCTTCTTCCAATCCACTGCGGGCTCCTACTCCTCAAAGGTCACCATCTGGTCTAACGGTGGCTCCTCTGTTCTCACGTTGAGCGCCTCGGTTAACGATGCTCCCGCTGTGACATTTGAACTGTCTGACGGCTCAGGCAACTGGAACGCACTCACAGACTACAGCGTCGCTTTTGGCAATGTTCTTGCTGGCACTTCGGTCGACAAGCAAATCCGAGTCTGCAACAAGGGCGGCGCGCCCTTGACGATTACCATCTCTAAGCCCCCTGCGACGCCTCAGCTGTTTGCTTTGAACCCTACTGCCGAGCTTACCGAGGGAACACAGGTCGCTGCTGGTACATGCGCCATCGGCAGTGTCGGCATTCACGCTGCGCCTGTTCAGCCCAACCATCCGTCACAATCGCTCAAGGCTCTGTGGACCATCAGCTCCGACGGTAACGATCCTACCACTGGCCAAGCATCTGGACTACACAACATCGCCTTCTCCGGCACTGTTGTCTCGAAGCAGGTCGGACCTCTCCTCACGAATGGCACCGCGCGTTATCAATGGGTCGGATGCTTCCAAGACACAAGCAGTGCCGGCCGTAACTTGCAGACCTCCGTCAACACGGCTGATCAGCAAAAGACAAACACTCTCCAGCAATGTCAGACTCTTTGCCTTGCCAAGGGCTACATTCTCAGCGGAGTGCAATACCATCAAGAGTGCTGGTGTGGTGGAAGCATCAAGACCCCTTCGACGTACAGATCTGAGTCTCTCAACCTTTGCACCTTTGACTGCACAGGTGACGATACTCAGGCCTGCGGAGGTGACGGTGGCCACATGAGCTTGTACGCCGACATCACTTCATTCGACATTGCCGGTTTCTACGCTTCTCTCAACGCCCCAAGCTCCAGCTCCAGCTCCAGCTCATCGGTACCAGCTGCTACGAGCTCCAGCTCAAGCATTGTGCCCTCTAGCAGTGCCGTCACTGTTTCGACAACCTCTGCCACAGGATCTTCTTCCGTCAGCTCCAGCAGCGCCATCTTCAGCAGTTCCTCTGCGACAGGACTTTCTAGCAGTACGCCGGCTACCAGCACAGTGGCCTCATCCACCTTGACCTCTTCATCGAGCACCTCCTCTGCTAGCCCTTCGTCAACAATGGTCATGTCACCAATCAACTCCGCCATGCCAGCTGTTGTCAGCGGCCAGTGGCAGTACTCTGGCTGTTACAAGGATCTCGTCAACGGCACTCGCCTTCTGGCTGAATCCTTCCTGGCTGCAGATGACATGACCTTGGACAAGTGCGCCGCATTCTGCAGCGCCGGCGCTTACAACGGAGGAGCCTTCAACTACTTTGGTGTTGAATACAGCCGTGAGTGCTTCTGTGGCTGGGATGTGAAGGCGTCCCAAACTTCTGCCTCGGAGTCAGACTGCTCTATGCCATGCGCTGGGTCAAAGACCGGCTTATGCGGAGGTGGAGCTAGGTTGTCAGTCTACAGCAACACGATCCCGAACAAGGTTCCCTCGGCTCCTCAGCATGCCCCCCAAGCCGGTAACTACAAGTTCTTGGGTTGCCAGACCGAAGGCAGCAACACCCGTGCCTTGACGGGCGCCTTCACTGCAGCGGATACAATGACTGTCGAGGCTTGCGCCACCTTCTGCTCTGCCGGCAACTGGCAATACATGGGTGTTGAGTACGCCCGGGAATGCTTTTGTGGCAACACTACCAACGCTGGATCCTTGCCGGCTGCGCTGACAGACTGCAACATGGTCTGCAAGGGCAACGCGCTTCAGTACTGTGGTGCCGGTGGGCGTCTTGACCTTTATGCCTTTTCGCCAGCCAGCTCCAGCTCGTCTTCAAGCACTGTAGTATCGACTTCATCGACAGTCGTCGGCTCATCGGCTACTGTGGTGTCGACGTCGTCTATCCAGACAACTTCCTCGATCTTGAGCTCGAGCTCTTCTGCGTCGCCGGTGTCATCTTCATCAACGGATCTTCCGTCAAGCTCCTCCTCCTCCATCGTCCAGTCAAGCAGCTCAGTGTCTTCTTCGACATCGGCTGCATTCACAGGCCAAACGGCCAGCGTTTCTTCCAGCTCGAGTGCATTCACTTCGTCCTCTTCTTCATCACCTATCGTTACCAGTTCTTCGCAGGTTTCCAGCTCGTCATCTAGCAGCTCCAGCTCATCCGTTCTCTCATCAAGCTCTTCGTCCAGCTCTATCGTTGCGTTCACAACCACCTCCGTCAGCAGCAGCTCTTCTGCCGCCCCGCCTACATCTTCTTCCTCGACCATTCCCGTACCCACTGTCCCCGCATCAACCACGGCAAGCAGCTCTTCCCTCGCTAGCACCACTGTCGGTCCGACTGCCACTCCTACAAACGGCTACTACTACATTGGGTGTTTCCAGGACACTGGTAATGGACACGCACTGCCCGGACTGTTCGCCAACAACAGCGGTACACCCGAGCTTTGCATTGGCTACGCCAACTCGCTCTACAGCAACTCGCCAACCTCGACGACCAAGTTGTCGTATGTCTTCATGGAATACCACCACGAGTGCTACGGGGGTAGCAACTTCGAGTTTAACGGTGCTGCAGTCACGTCATTGGTTGGACGCGGTGCCTGCAAGGACTACTGCTACGGCAGCGTCAGTACATTCTCGACGAACGGTGTGCTCACGACTACTACCGCCACCAACAATTACTGCGGTGGACCGCGCATGTTTGACTTGTACGCACTGTCGACTGCGGTAGCCTGGCCTACAACTGGCGGGCCTCTTGTCACACAGACAGTGAACTGATGGGTCGAAACCATCTAATGTATTCAAACTTTATTGCATAATAGTGGTCTATCTTAGAAGACCTCGGATCTTTTCAGCATGTTATTTTTTACATACCCAGGCATACCCTCAGATTGGATGCCGTACAATCACTTGCATATCTAGACTTCGCTTCAAATCCATACTATCTTGTTCATATCACATCATCAGTTCATTGACATTTGCCTATTCGCTCTACAGTCATGCTTTTATCGAATCGATCATGGTCAAGCCGTGCTCTTCAAACATTTCTGAACAGATCTCACTCATGATCATGATTTGCCTAGGCGTCTGAGGCATCAAAGTTGCGAATGAGGTCGTAGTAGAATCTAAGGATTTCCATGTGTGCGTCAAACTTGATCCTCTCGTCGATGGTGTGGGCGTTGATGGTGTACCCGTTGCGGATAGGTACGAAACGGTAGACGTTGCGAGTAAGGCCTGTCCTTTGTTAGCTCGTCATCCATTTTTCTGGGGCCTGTGCCAGTCACTGATGAAAAACATACCCAGGTAGTGCCTCGTATCGGTGTTTCCGGTCATCAGCTCGCCCACGGGCACGACTTTGCCATCGTCAAATTGGAAGCTGGACTGCAGCGTCCCCGAGAAGAGATCCCAGATCGGTCCGGTGGTGGGTGAGATGGGAGCGGGCAGCGTCGCCTGCGTGCGGCTGAGGAAGAGCGTGCCGTTGTAATCGACGTCGTATAAGGGCTTCACGCCATCCTCGAGCTTCTTCATCAACCCAATGTCCTTTGACTTGTGCAGCGCAGCGTACTTTTCGTACTCGTCGTCGCCCTCGAAAGCCTTGATCTTGATGCCGTACTTTTCGGCGATACCGCTAATGTACTTGACGACATTGTGCTGTATCTCGGGGATGCTGTTCTGCGGCGCGACGCGGTAGTTCACGCCGACCTTGATCTTCTCGGGCATGGCATTGATCTTTTGACCGGCCTGGAAGTAGTCTACGCTCTGCGAGGTCTGGAGGCGGTAGTGCGTCGGGCGATCAATGGAGATTAGCTCCGCCGCGAGGGCGTCGAGGTCACCTTCCTCCAAGAGCCGGGTGATTCTGGGCTGGGCGTCGGGCGAGTAGCGCGCCTGGCAGACCATATGTTCGTACAGGGGGCTGGAGGTGGTGAGTTGAGGGGAGTACGGCTTCGATTCGAGGGCGACAACCATTTCGGAGACGATGCCGATGCCCGTGTGGGGGAAGGGGACGGAGGAGTGGCCACCTGTGACGTGGAGGTTGATCCAGATGTCGACGTGGCCCTTTTCCATGACGGCTGGGAGGGCATAGAGCGTGCCGTCGTCGAGCTGCTGGAGGCCCATGCCGCCTTCGTCGAGCACGAGGGCCATGCTGTCGTTGCCCCATGTCTGCTGGAGGTGCGTGGCGATGTGGCCTGCGCCGCGGGCGCCGGAGCACTCTTCGTCGAAGCCGGAGGCGAGGATGATCGTGCGGGTAGGGGTCCAGGCGTAGCTTCCATCGTCACCAGAAAGGGATAGGAGTGTCTCGAGGGCGGAGAGGAGGGCGGTGAAGGAGTTCTTGTCGTCGGAGACGCCTCGGCCCCACATCCACTCGCCGTCGTAGTGGGCGGAGAAGGGCGGGTAGGTCCAGGTGGCGGCGTCGGCGACGGGGACGACGTCTTGGTGGGCTGCGAGGAGGAGGGGTTTGAGGGATGGGTTTGTTCCCTTGAGGGTGTAGACTAGGCCGAAAGTGTTTACTTTTTCGAGGGTTGAGCGGGCGTGGCTTTGCTTGTGTTAGTTTTATGTGTAATTCTTTTCTACTATCTGAAGAGTCACAGCTTCATAAGGAGAAGTTGGAAGAACAGCAGGGAGAGAGGAGGAGAGGTAGGAGGTCTCACAAGACGGGATACGTCTTCTTCAACACATCATGAAGCTCGTAAAAGACGTTCCAGCGCTCGTCCTTGTCGAAGTCGCCGAGGTCGTCGTAGCAGATTGACGGGACGCGGACGAGTGCCGCGTGCCGCTCGACTTGTTTCTGGACGGCGGCTTTGGAGGTGAAGAGGTCGCGGGCGGAGGGGAGGCCGTCGGTGGGGGTTACGGGGGGCGGGAGGTCGCATTGAAAGGATGAAGGGGAGGCAGAGGCATCTTCGGTCTCGATGATTGGGTATTGGGGTTCGGTGTAGAATGGGGAGGAGGAGGTTGCGAGGTTGGCGGAGAGGAGGGTTAGGAGGAGTTCGGAGCGCATTTTGGGCTTTTGTCCCGAGGGGGAAGCAATGTCTAGCTTGGTTGCTAGTGGGGTGGCTAGGATGAAATATGATGGACCAAGTCAATCGTCAAATAGTCGTAGTGTGAGCAACCTAGAGGGTCCCTGGGAACGTAGTTGATTTCTAATGGAATCGAACTTTGAATGGAAACACCACCACACTTGGCTTCTCAAAACGTCAAGAATTGGGAGAAAGGGAAGAAATCACTGCGAAGGGTTAGCTAGGGACGGGGGAACGTCATTATGTATGCAAGCATACCGAATCCAGGTTTGCCGTGCCGGGTTCATTGCGTGATAGGCACAGCTGAGCTCCCGCTCGAGAGCTCTCCATCCTTTCAGTTAATCCTACATACTAAGGTAAAGCTATCCCCGCCGAGATAGGAGTTTGGCGGGGTTCCATTGATAACGGCATTGAACCCCAGTCATTGCCGAAGCCGGGTTTGGGAGGCCCGGGGATGGGGAGTGGTCGGTTGGATGGGAACCGTTGGCTGAGTGGGTGAATGGAGGTTTGAGGCCGGTGCCGATACGGAGATGCCGGGGGGGAGGCTCCAATGGGACGGGGAGGTTTGGAGAGAAGGGGAGCGTTGAGCGATGATGTGCTATCATGCAATCGTCTCGTCGGAGAGATGCCGCGGGCAACTTTTCTGGACTGTGGGACCTTCCTGATCGGAGCGTGGAGGTTTGAGGTGGTGAGGTGATTGGTTGGCTGCTGAATCAGTTGCGTCGGGTATCGTCCCGGTCGGCTATTTTGAAGGGTTGGGAATTGCGGTTTGGGGGATTGATGATACTCAATTCGTTGGTGAATGACATGTAGATCACAAAGAGTAGGATCGATAGATGAGATTCAATATCATTCTACAAGTTTCCTTTTATCGTAGGTTAAAAGGGCTACTTTTTTCCTTTTCCTTTTTTCTATCTCTTGTTGGCTTGACAAAGTCACAACGGCGCCGGCGCCCGGATTACCGGTTTCGGCGCGGGGTTCCAGGCCGATGTGCGGGGCCCCATCGGCTCTCATGCCAAGTACCGTCACGGCTGCTACCGTTGCCCGTGGCTTGGTTCCGCAACTTACTTACCTTATGGACGAAAGAGCAATGTACTTATTTTTGGCATCATTTCGCGACTGGTTCCATTTCAGAGTCAAGTACCGTCGCACGAGTTGCCAACAGCAGCTCTTTCTCGTATAAATACTATCGTGTTATTGGGGCACTCATGCTAAAAAGTTTTGCTCTTCCCGATATTCTGGACGCCTTTTCAAGGCTGACAGGTAAAGTCCGCCCAACGTAGTTCATTGCGAAGGATAGAGACTTCGTAACAAAAGAAGACTTCGCTTCCTCTGCAAAACTCACCAGAAACACATCAAAGCAGTTGAATGAAGGATGAGTTACTGTAGTGATGTACGGCCCATCTGCCGTATCGGGAGGCATTGGTAGCGCTCTTGTGAAAGTGTTCTTTACAAAGGTTATTTTTTGAATTTGAGACGGTGGCCATTCAATCTAATCTCTCATCGACGGAGTATGACCACGGCGTGGCCCAGGAACTGACACCGGCGTCGGACCGCCAACTTTCAGACTGATAAGCAGACGTTGAGCCTCATGGCTCATTCTTCGCCGTGTCAGGTCGGAAAGAGCAGTGTCTCGTTAGGTACAGTGAGGATATCTTGTGAGCGTTGAGGCCGTGGTTCAATAACGCGGCACCCCAAGTAAGCGACGTAGTACGTCCGTTAAGGCCATGGGGTTCATATTCTGGCATAACCAGCGGCCGTCGTTGGAGGTCAGAGAAGCTGGAGTACTCTGCAGAGTGGGTGGAGCTAGTGTTTCTGCTAGTGAACTCTATCGCCGGATGGTCAGTCGGAGCCTAAGACCTCATTTGCCGAACTCATTGCTTCAACATTTCCAAAGGGATCGACACCGGGAGGCCTGTAAATGTTTCGATTGTTTGTAGGTCCGTTGAGCCTGAGTCGCAAGCTGGAGCGCAATTGCTAGGTACCGGAGGGTTTCTCTCGAGGACCCGAACCACTCACCTCGGTAGGTGGTAGGTATAGCTGACGATCATCGTCCACGCTCTGTTGGGCCTTCGAACCGGTCGTTTGGCTGGGTCCCGCCGCCGCCACGGCCTTTGTAGGATGTTCGTTCCTTGTCGTCGCCCAGACGGGTTCTGGCTGGTCCGAATTGCCAAGACTGCCCAGCCAGTCCAAAGTTCAAGGCCGGTAGGGCTGCGACAGCTGATGGCACGGCCGTTGCAGGCGGGCAGAAGAAGAGATGGAAATCGACGTCAATCGCCGATGGTGGAGGTGCAAGCTTTGGGACGGACGGGATCTGCGGAACAGAGGGACTGCGTCTTCGAATTCGTTCCGCTCTCAATTGAATACCTTATTAGCCAGCTTGGCCTGCTTTTCCGCCCGGCTTCGACGCGGCTTCGTCGGCCGTTGATGGTGTCCGATATACCGGAAGAGGCATGGGAAGGAAGCCTGCCCATCCCGTCTTGATCAAAGTTTCAACGGCCGCCCGTCTCCGATAGTTTATGTTTCGTTTCGGACGGATGCCGTAGGGAAGGGGTGTACGATTAAGCTTGAGGGGTCTTCCAAATTTCTCTCGAACTTGGCACTACCGCAGTAGAGTTTTTAGACTTCTCCCACCGGCCTTTGCCCACGCGGACTACTCCGTACATACTATCCGCAACAAAGTGCCCAGCCGGCCGGGTGCAACAAAGCTCTTTCTGGGCGTTCACTAGCAGCGATCAGCAATGCGGGATCATTTTTTTTGCAAGGGCAAGCTCTTTCTATCACTTTTGATTTTCTCTTTTTAAAGTTTCGACTTCCCCGCGAAATGATTGGCAGCTGTGGATTCCCACGATGTTTCTCTGCCTTACGCACCCCCTGGCTCTTAGCCGATCGTCGTGAGGGAATATCTTTTTTGGTGGGGGTTTTTTTAACGACTTGTGATGACTTCACATCAGACCACACTAAACCATCTCGAAATTGTCGCTAGTTCGGACGTTGATCGTGTTGTGCATCTGGTCTGAAAGAGGAAAGTTACACGTGGTGGTATAGCAGATGGTGGGATGGAAGTTGAGACGTTGGTATAGCTGACTCGATAAACCTACAAGAAAATTTAGGTGACAAATTACGCAAGAGAAATCAAATCAGACGAAGGGGAACATGGCAGAATTGAAGAACACGTTACCTTCGCATTCCCCGGATTCGGGCGTACTCGCCAGGAACCGAGACATGGCGTTTCACGTCAAGACGCAGATTGTCACGATTACGTCGGTGCGCGAGGGAGGGTATAATGGGTGAAGAATAAGTATTGAACATTGAAGTGTGTGAAACTTTGTACAAGAACATGCAAATCCCAGGATTTTGTTGGGGTCAAGCCCTTCGTGTGAAACTTTGGGAGATCCGTTTCCGAGTCATCTCGTCTTTCTCTCGTCCCTTCCGTCTCGTCTCAAAAAGGCTGACCGGGTATCAGATGCGAGTCCGACTGTCTACTCTAAAACTCTAAATTCCACTTTAGAAGCGCTTGCGAAGAGCCCGCTTGGCGTTGCGCTTGCAAGGGGCCTATTGAATAGTAAGGTTAGCTGAATGTGAACCACTTGTAACTGTTTCAATCCGAACTCTACTCTGATGACAAAAGAGCCTCAGAAAGATGGGACGTTGGTATAGGCAAGACTTACGGAAGAAGAGGGGGTAGCGGAGGGAGTAGCGGAGGGAGTAGCGGAGACGGGGTCGGCGGCCTGGTCGGAGCTGCCAGAGGCAGGGGTGGAGGGAGTAGCAGAGGCAACGGCCGAGGTCACGAGGGTGGTGGGAGCGGCAGAGGGGGTAGCAGAGCCAGAGCCAGTGCCAGAGCCGGAACCGGAGCCGGAGGTGAAGTCGACGCAAGACATGTAAGTCTGGCCGGCCTCAGCAGAGTCCCACCACCACTGGAGAACGCAGTTGCCGGCGGTGCCGCAGTTGGAGGGGAGGGAGTCGGGGAGGGTGACGCTGAAGGCGGTGTTGTTGGCAGCGACACCGGTCTTGGTGGAGGCGTAGTTGGTGAAGGAGATCAGGGGAGATCCGATGATGGAGTTGCTGGTGGTGTCGACGACGGAGACGTTGGCGACACCGGTGTGGGGAGCGCGGATCTCGACCTTGAAGTCGACGGTCTGGCCGGGGGTGTAGCTCTGGATGTTGGCAGAGTTGTCGGCGAACTTGTAGCCCTTGCAGAGGGCGAGCTCGCACTTGGAGGAGTCGAGGCTGTTGCCTGCCTGCTGGGCGAGGCCCTGGATGTTGCCATACGGGTCGGACTGCTCGGTGTTCCACATGGTGGTGCCGCAGGCCTCCTTGAAGGCATCACCGGCGGGGCGGGGAGTGGGGGAGGTGACCTTGCCGTGGGCCGAGACGGCGGCGACGAAAGAGAGGACGGTGAGGATGTTGGACTGCATTTTGACTGATTTCTACACGGTAGAGTTTGGGTTGGTTTTTTGGTATAAAAAGAGGGTTTTGACGGTTGGGATTTGTCTTGCAATGTTCTGAGAAAAGCTTCAAAAGAATGGCTTGTGTCTAGCACAGCTGTAAAGAGAGTATTGAAAGAATGAACGTGAATGAAAATTCGGACAAGTTTGGAATGGGACGAGGAGATCAGATCAGAAGAGCGAGCAAGAAGAGTTTGAAGGCCATGAGGATGGTCTTATACAGTTCGACTGGCAAACCCGTCTTTACGACTTGCCGTCAAAGTGGTGGGTGTCATGGGCGACCCAGTCCGGACCCAGCCACGGACCCGGAGCAATCTATGCAAGACGGCTTGTTGCGATCGAAGCTTTCAGGGGAACTGATAGTACCTTGCATGGTCATGGACTCATTGTGCAGACGCAAGAGAAGAGCTCAGGCCAGCCTTGGGCAGTCACTCTGCCAGGTACAAGACGAGACGTGTTGCGTCGACTCTAGAGTACGGGTAGACATAGGTAGGCAAGTAACCCTCCAACAGCCTTCCAAGACTGTAGACGGCCACCAAGACGGCCACCAAGAGCCTAGAGATGTGATCCATCCGTGGTCCTGGAACATGCCAGCCAACGACCCCCAGTCAGCTCCATGTGGAGGGAATGCCAGCGATTGGGCGGATGACGGGCAGGGCTCCCACAACGGGCAGTAGTCGCCCAGTTGTTTAATTTGAGTGAGGCTAGGTGGACACTCTTTGGACCGAGTCTTGCCCGTCTTTGGCTGACGTTCCAGAGCAGACGCCGTGACGGCTACGAGAAGTGACGAGGGTTCGAGTTGGACGACTCGAAAGTGAGATGGGGAGGGGGAAGCGCACGCCGCACGAAGCGAAGCCGTCTGACATGATCCTTGCTTCGCCCTTCTCGCTCCTGAACCGGGATGGCTGAAACGGCGCCATCACGCATCTTTCAGGCGGCTCCGCCATATGACCCCCACCACTTTGCTTTACTCGATTCGATGGAATCTGGACGGTTGACCTCTTTCACGTCGTCGTAGTCGGGCAAAAGCTATGTAGTTGCGGTAGAGGTAACGGTCCCTTTCCTCGTCCCATCTTCGGTTCCTCGGCCTCTCGCATCTTCGATGACCTCAACGGGAGATCATATGAGGATCTTTACGACCTGGAACGTCCCTGCAAGCGAGAAATAAAAGGTCGATGCGCTCGTCGGGTGGGAACTGGCTGGCTTTAAGGGGCATGACAGATCGTGTTTATCGCTCTCCACGTTTTTTTTTTTCTTCGTCTCCTTCTTGGGAAAAATTTGAGTTGCTGTGCGGGTAGCTGGCCTGTTTCGAGAAGCTCCCTCCGTGAAGACAATCTCGACTGTTGCCAATCTATTGATGTGAACTGGAGCTGGGCGAGCCTGACCTACCTTGGCCGAAGCCCCTATCAAGTTCACATGCAAGCAAGGGCGAAGCGTATTAATCGAAACTTGACCATGTCAGTAATCGTCGCCCGGACTTAGCTACTGACTGGTAAACGGTGACCGTGATGCACTGCCGTTCAATCTGAATGCATCTCACATAGAATGAGATCCTTCTCCAGTGCGACTTCAGCTGACCAGCTCGGTCGCAGCGATGGCATCACTCGGTGCGCTATCGCGTCTCAGGGCCTCAATTCTCAGCGCATCTCTTTATCAACTTCAGACCAAAGGCTTTCACCAATGTGGACTCCGTTGTACCCGACTTGGCTTTCAGGTCGTGGGCCACTTTATGGCGCGCGTCATTCGAAAAAGCCAACGCATTCCCAATCCTCCCAAGTGGTTCTCTCTTCTGGTCTGCTTTTCGTACCCGGCTTGGCTAATTGTCGGTGTGCAGACTGGCTGCCCGCGGCCAGACCAGGCCAGGTGTTACCAGGCAGGGCGCTCATCGGTCCTCGTTTCTTCTTCTCGCCTTCTTCGTCCGATCATCAACTGAACACATTGAAACTCACCCCCGTGCCTACATCGTGGATCCGAGGCAGGGTCAAGGGCGCTAAACCTTGTCCCATCAGCGGGTACCTGGGCCAGACCAGGCACAGGCTCCAGGGCCCCCCCTCGGCCCCTCCTCCTAGTCAGACTCCTCCTGAACAGAACTGAGCCCGTTAGATTGGGCCGTTTGAATTTTACCTACAGGTGAGGAGGAGACGAAGCAAGGAAGGGGAAAAGGGGATGGGCGCGGATAGACAAGCGAAGGACGTGGCTGCAGTTGTTTATGCGACGGAGAATGTGGGAGATGAAATGCACTTTTTAGAATTATGGGATCATTAGGATGAAAGATGGAGAAACAGGAGCTGAGGCCCCTCCACATTCCCGCTGTGCCTCTCAACATGGGCCAAGACCTCCATCTGCTTGATTCGGGTACTGACCGATTCTATCGGCCGAGTGAGGATGACATAATCACACACCTGCTCTCCTGAGTTCCATTTCCCCTTCATTTTCGGTCTTTTGGTGGTCGGACGGTGGATCTTTTGGCTTTCGGGATGCAGCAAGATGTCGTCAGTAGCCGCCGTTCGGCATGAAACTGGGCGCTTGGCCAAATGGCGGCTTCTAGATTGACTGGAGCTGTTCAACTCTGCAAAGTGCAATGCGGAGCATTTGGATGGGATCCGTGTAAGGGCCGATGAGACTTATGCGAGAAGCCGCCTATATCGCTTCCATAAGTTCCACGAGATAGGCCACCTACCTAACACGAACCACAGTGTTAGTACTCAAGACATTCTGCTTCTAAGATCAAAGATAAGGACGCTAAATACTATATCAGATTGACGAGTCTTTCTTATTTCTGTATGAAATCAAAGATAGAGTCTCAGACATGCACATAGTGGAAGTATGTGACTCAAACGCCGGCCGTCAAAAGAGAGACATCCTGAGTGGCGCGAGGTGAGACGCAGACAGCCCGAGAGAGAAGTTGTCCCTCATAATCGGATAGCCAACGCCTGACGCTTACCTACCACTTACAAAACTACATGGATTTTCTGTTTTGTAAGTGTTTTGCTGTTCGCAGGCTCCAGCACTCACTTCGGTGATGGATTCGCACCGTCTTGACTGAGGTGGCTGTTCCGTGACTGCTGCTGTTCTGCGCAGAGCATCCGAAGAACTGTCTTCATGAATATTGATTGCCATAATCACTATCCCCGCATATTTTAGGCTGTCTTAACTTGAGTACGCTCGAATCGGTAGTGCACTTCTTCCCCGGCCACAGCCCGCAGCTATGGAGTTCCACTTTCTGATGCCGCGTCATCCGTCTTTCGCGCCCGGCGCTCAATCTGACACGGCCCTTGCAGCTGCGACGCTGCCACTGGGCAAGTCTAGCTGGTCCGGCCGGAAAGCCCATTTTCCTGGCCGTCACTGCGGCCTCCCTCATCGGCTCTATTGTCGGTGCCTCGTCTTGGTCCCGGACGTCTCTGTTGTGAATGCCGGGCGGGTACCGGCTGTGTGAACGTTTTTGACTCAGCGCGGCGGTCAATCAGTGATTCTCATATATGAGGCGATGTTGAATCATAGGTGGCATCCAAAGTGTCCGACATGATTCACTCAACAGATTCAAGAGTAAAGCACATACTTCTGAAATAACAACAAATCAAAGCTGATCAATTTCAACTCATTCAGTAGCTTGAGTCCGAACCATCCGGTCTCTCGTGAGTAACTAGAGCAGGACCACATCAATAGTCAGCATCTCGTAACTGGCGCTCCCGCCTCTTCCTCTGCCAGGGAACAGCCAACTCAGCTCTTATGAAACTTTGACGACCTCAATAAGTGGCGGCAGGTAGCAGGGCTTCCGCGGCGCGCCTCCGTAGTCGTTCCAAAATTTGACCGCCACCTTCATACCCACGAGCCCTAGTCCAGTGACGACTGAGTTCCCTCTCGCAATGACTGCCTGCATATGCTCCGCCTCACGGAGCTCGACTTGATCGGAGAGCTCCCTGACGCGCACGCACGCATACGTTGCGAAGTTGGTGAGCCCCGCGATCGTTCCATTCGCCCCGAGGACTTGACACTGGCGGATGGAGTTGGTGTTGCCGCCGGCCACAAAGAGGCCCATGGGAAATAAACCATAAGCCTCCCGCGCGAGATTCTTCAGGTTGTCGTACTTGAAGTTGACGCCCACGAAGTTGGGGTGCTTTGCGATACGGAGGATGTCATCAAAGGTGAGCTCCAGTTTTGATGTCGCCGCCGGGAAATTGTCGATGATCAGTGGGATGAGCGATCTGTCCGCAACATCGTAGAAGTTCTGTATGATCATTTCATTGTTGACGACAGATGCGTAATAGCTTGGAACTGTTATCAGTGCGTGAGACGCGCCGATTTCTCGGCTGCGTCTCGACAGAGTTGAAGTGTCCCACGCGTCGGCTGAGCACCGCACGCGTCGATCAATGAAGCCCGAGTATTCTTGAGTCTGTCGCAATAACATCTGTAGATAGTATCGGCTGCGCACCTGATCATGGTGCTGCGTTCCTCCCTCGTAAGGTGCACTGCTTCGCCGATGAAACTGTGAATACCGATGCCTACAACCCCTGCTTTGATAAGTCTGGTGACATGATGCCCGAGAGTTGTTGTGTCGATGTCCTCGGAAATTGTAAAGAAGGCAAGAGTGGGAGCGTATCCCCCATTCAGGAGACGAAGGTGTTTCGCCTTGGGTGCCCCTTGCGAGGCCTCTGCCTGCGAATTATAAGTCACGCTGCCATTTGACATTGTTCTTGGTGGTTCACTAAAGTCCTTCTTGTACATTACAACAAGTTAAGCACAAGAGCTCATAGCTGCATTATATCACCAGGGGCAGAAAGTCGAAAGCAAGCTGGGCAGCTTGGACTTTATACTCTGGTTGGGATCCCGGCTCAGATATCTTGGAGTGACCCTCGCCATGTTAAGGATCAAGTGATAAGTCAATGGGGTTGATATCAAGCAAAGTTCAACAAGGTCCTTCTAAGACTTAAGGTCCATGTCGGTGAACATCTGATTGCTTTGCGAGAAGTTGGGGAAATTGGCAAGGTTCGGGCGGGCATAAGTTGCCATTTATTGGGGTGGCTGCTTTGCTAATGATATATCCTACCATCTTAGAATGCGTCACTGGGCGGTCGAGATTGTGAAGTGGAGGGTTAATTGTGTAGGTGAGGAAGGTTTCCGGTGACGCATCACGCGGTGCGCCACCGCGACATCTTCTGGGGAACGCATTTGATCACTGCGTTCCTTCACGTAAGCCTTGCAGAAACCTAATACTTGACAGTTTGATGCAGGAGAGGTTATGCTGGATTCAATATTGCCGCTATACATAGACATTGCGTCAAACTGTACTCAGTACATCACGCTACTTTCCTGGCGAACGCCTACCAGCCAAGGTACTTGTACTGAGTCCACTCTCTTAACCTGCAGAAGTCTTCAACTCATCAACTTTTGAAAAAGCTTTTATTCAACTATGATACAGATTGAACATATCGAACCTCGAGGGATCAATTTTACTGAGTTGAGCGGCCGCAAGAATTAACGTAAAAACATTTCCTATCACGACCTCTTCAATGTCTCTGTAGCCGACGTTCTAAGCTCATGACATCAGGGGCATGATCATACAAAAGACATCAAATTATACAATCAGGAAGCCGTTTGATATCAATCACAAGTTGCAATGGCTTCTGGCGCCTAAACTTCGTCCCTGGCAATATAGGGCATACCTGCACGTTTTGCACTGTCGTCACCCACCTCACTTCACATGGGTCTGTTATGGTTGGGATCTTCTTCTCACAATTGGCCTGCCTCAGCATCTCCACATCATATTGCATCCGCAACATGGATCACCGGCGTTGTGGCAGAGTGGTCTAATGCGCAAGACTAGAAATCTTGTTCCTTCGGGAGCGTCTGTTCGAATCAGGCCAACGTCGATTATCTTTTGTTTTCATGCACTGTTCCATTTTGAATACCACGAGTATGGTATAGTTGAGCTTTTGTGGCTGCCAAATGTCACTCGAAAGTCCAAGATGATATGCTAGTCAGTGAAGTCACCCAACAGTCCTGCATCATCTTAGTGTAACAGCACTTTCAATTCTGCTGGTAGCGAATTCCAGATATCCTGCAAGGCGAAATAACGTTGATGGTTGGCATGTGTTCGTAACTCCAATTCTTTCCCAGGTTCAGTCATGTTTCACTCAAGTACCTTCGAGTGGTGGCTGGCTCCCATACTCCTGTCAAACTGCCGCCTTGATCATCTTCTTTGCCGACTGAATAAAGAGTGTTTATTTCTCTAGTCTTTGACTATACGTGCATCAGCTCTTGTGTAACCTCACGGGTGCCTACCCCAGAACCAGGTCAAGGAAATCCCGATCAACGCCCCGTTCTTTATGTCTCGCTTCAACTCTGACTCGAGCCTGTACATGTCTTTGGTGGTTTGTAGAGTGTCGACGCCTCCAGATTCAAGTATAGACAGCATTACTGGCTGAGCAACCTCTGTGGCTATCTTTCTCATCGACTCTCGCATCATGCCCTCCACACTGAAAGTGTTCCAGACTTTATCGTCGACATCCGTGAAGCCAGCGTCGCGGAGCACGAGGGGCAGTTGAGCGGGCATGCTGTATTGGATAACCAGGATGAGCAAGATGGAAATGCTATGACTGTAGTGACTGGAACTTGTCTGGAAGCACTGTAGATAGTGTTGAGAATTCTGAAGAACTCACAATGGATTGCGGCCAACTTTGATGGACCACAACATTCTGATTCTAGACCACTCGTCAAAAGCGTGGCTAGGCGGGACGCACTTCCAGGACGTATCGCCGGCTTCTTCCCAGTGGATGTATCCCCCGGGGCGTAAAAGCGTGAACGCATTCGCTGCCAGAGTCTTCCAGTCTTCCTTCCGCATTCCAGATCCAATCAATCGGATATGCACCATATCGAATGACCCATACATTTCCTCTGGATACGGATTCAACGCATTTTGATGCAGAAGAGAGATATTTGGAGGTAAGTCAGTTGGAGGGGGAAACTTGGTGGTGTCCATATCGATGCCTCGTAGCTCGGCGGTGGAGGGGAGCAATTTTGCCATGTCTCTCAGCCAGATGCCGGTGCCAGTTGCGATCTCAGCGACTCGAGGGTTCTGCTGCTTCTTGAGATGTGTCAATATTTGTTGGGGGCAGAGCCCACCGCAAAGAGGGAGGAAGATGTTTCTGTGGTTGTACTCGAGCCGCTCACGCTCCTTGGCTAGGTCGCCGCGATTTAGGGCGTAGACGGTGTCCTGGTCCTTGTTCCATGGCTCCAAGCCAGCGAGTGAGTTCGGATGAGATACTGCTGCCATTTTCAGAGAGTTCAGTACTTGACAAGGTTACCGGTGTTTTCGGGATTTCTTCCGATGATGCGAGTCTCACCAGGCCATATGATGGGCAGCCTAATGGCTTTTTATACCCAAGGTCGCAAGGAAGCTCGGAACTGGGCAGTGATCCCTCAGCCGAGGCAGTACAGTCATTGAGTTGAAGGCTCGAGAAGCTTTGGCCAATCGCTCGAGTATTTGCTATCAACGTTGAGCTGCATCTCCATGTTAGGCTTTCGGCACTTGGCTGTCAGAGGCGCGATTGGCAGATGATGTGTCATCCTGTGTAAGGTAATTCGTCTAAGATGCGGCTTCACATATCGTTTCGAACCTAACGTCCTTGACATTGCCGACTTCGGTCCCGGCACACAGGCTCAGGCTTAGTCACTGTAGGTCCTTGGTATATGTAGGAAAATCTAGAACAGCCCCGGCGGTGACAACATGTTGATCAAGAAAACCACTCATTCCCAGCGCCAGGACCATTACCAATTTGTGACAAGAGCGCATCCTTCGTTCTACAGATATTCCCAGAATTGAGATACAACACGCTGCCCTGTTGGAGAACGCATCTTCAACACCACGTTTTCTAGCGCGCTGTAGTTGCCATTCAATATGAACGGACCACTCCATGACATTCTGAATGGGTTGCTGGTGTCTGGAGGGGATCCTACAGGTAGATTCCAAGAAGAACCAGTAGAAAGGAGAACTCGGAATACGATCTCACGAGGCTGATACATATCTCAATCAAGAGAAAAGCTGCTCAATGATCAATAATTTTCATCACAGTTCCTGCCGGTCTAAACCCTTATACGAGCCTGCAGCTGTAGGCTCGTAATGATGGAGAGAGAACCGAGCCTTCTTGGATAGCAACCCGCCAAGCCACCAGAAGCAGAAAAAGGGTCTCGGTCACTGCTCACTACATCCAATCTAGCTTGCAACAAAGTTACAATATGCTGACAGCATCACAGGTCTGAGGAACAAATGTCCTCCGAGCAAGTGAGACATTTTCAAGTACTCTTGTCCTTTTATAAACTCCTCCGTTGTTTAGGCTACCAAGGTACAGCTGGTACCACAATGTCCGCCGAACTTACTTTTATGGTTCCGTACTTTTGCGGGTATCAACTTCCACCAAGGTTGGGAAGAAAACGTACTTATCATCCGCACCCAAAGTAGAATCGGACCAAAGCCTAGAGCATCGACACAAATTCAAGGATGATACTGATTTAGCCACGGAACGCTGCATAGTGGCACGTAGGATAGCGAGACGTGTCAGGAGAGGGGTTTGCTGAACGAAGGAGGCGTGGTTGAGTCTTGCTGTTTCTGTAATTGTAGGATGTGCTGAGTCAAGGAGCACACAATCAGGGAAGACGTTTTCACAGTTGGCCACTTGACTACTCAAGATACTCAAGGTGTATGCGCCTAGTCTCGGGGGGTGCCCGAGCTTGAAAACATGAGACCATAGGTCCAAACGGGTAGCCTCGAAAAAAAGAGATTTGCCGGATGATATGTGGATACTGGCGGCGTGGCCTCCGTCTCGGGACGTCCCGGCCGGGATCGGCGTGGCCCAAATCATCGGGATCATGCTTCCGGGCCATCGTCACAACAGCGTACGACGCTCACGTCAAGTGAGTCTTGGCAGAAAGAGATACACAAGACGTGGCGGGCCTTCAGTTTTCAGCTTCGAAAGCCAGGCTTGTCATCAGAGTCGCAAGCAGTGCAGCCTTCTTGAGCCTTCAATTTGGATGGGGGCTATTGTGGCCCAGAGCTGAAGTGTAAGTTCCTCTAGTAAAGCCATGGCGTTGAAACATTCCGGAGCCGGCGTTGGCGCGAGGCTCTTTACCGGCACTTCGCCGGTGCCACGTTGTGTAACTGTTAGTTTCTTTGAACGAACTTTTGAAGTCGTGATTTGGTCGAACATCCCAGGGGTTGGCTAGCACTTTGATGCCAAGTTACTCATATAAAATGCCCGATCCGGCTCCCTCGGCCATGTTCGCCATCCCATCTGACGACAAATTCACAAAGCAACATAGCAAAGCTGAATCAGATATCCGAGTGGACTGCTCAAAGACTATACATGATGAGGCCTGCCTACATTACAGAGCTCACGAATGCGAACTCTGCCACCCCCTCAGAAGATTTTGTTCAATGTCGGAACAGCACTATCGATTACCAAATCAGCGTCAGTGAATTCAACGCAAAGCCATGTTCTTACTACGCGACTTGTGATTGTCCGAACATGGAACCCAAACCAGATATTGCAGGGAAGTGTGTAAGTTACAACTTCCAGAGCACCAGACTCGATATGATCGTCTGCTAATATTTCAACCGAGTCCAGGTAATTGTTGCGTTCACCATCACTGCTTTCTTCACCCTCTGTTTATCAATATACTGCTTCATCGTCGGCCGTACCAACGAACAGAGACAGACCTTCAACCCGGTCGACCGATCCGTTCGCAGACGCGTATCGGAGCCTCTCCGCCACTTCATGTATCGGAAGGGCGTCAGCCCTGACTTGCAGTCTCTCATCGCCTACGATCTCGTCAACACCTTCAGCGATCTTCAACTTGTGACAGGCCTCGCCATCTTAGTTGCCGGGTTCACAGAGATAGCGCAACGAAAGATCTCAGTTTACCATTTTCTCATCATCACGGACCTCGCATGGTTCTGCACCAACTCTCATCTGCTATCGATGGTAGTCACTCGAAGGATGAGAGATAGCGTCAAGAGAACGCATCCGCATCGTTATAATCACGAGCAAAACGAACTTGCTGCACGTCTCAGTCGTGCCTTACGGATCCTATTAATGTTCGCCACATTTGTTTTCCTTATCTTTGCGTTCTGGGCTACCGGGTTCCAAATGGCCTATGCCTACTTGGGCTGCCCGATGGACTGCATGTTAGTCGAGCAACGAGGGAATTCGCCATGGAGCCAGATGGTGGCCAACATGGTCTTGATGTCGTACTTCTATGCAGTACAGATTTTCCTCACTTGGCGCACTGGTCGTATCTACTGGATGGACCACATTAGAAGCTTCCTTGTCGACAAGCAAGGCCAGCCAGTCAACGTTCTGAGTCCAGAACTGGTCTTCAAGCGATGGACAGAAAACAAAGTATGGAAGGCGCTGAAAACATTGCCTCTGGCCGTGTGGTACTTTTTTGCGTCTGAAACCGGGATGCTGCTAGGGCTGACCGGATATTTCGTCTTTGGGGTATGGTCTCTTCTCTTCGATCGATATGCCGCACGCTTGCTTTTGGAAAACGTCGAAGAAGATGATGAGATTGTATTCAGTCAACTCGTTCCACTCTTCTTGCTCATCATTCCCTTCATGGGCATCTTTGAGTCTTATGCTCGACACTCGAAGGCGGTCAAGGAGTGTGAGGCCACGGAGCTGGAAAGTCGTACATCAGAGGGATCTTGAGGACGTATTTGTTCCATGCGGGTAATGAACCTTGAGGGGGAATTGGGACGGAATGGAAAGACGCAAGGATACAGAATGACGCACAGGATGCCTCTCGCTGAGGCAGGGAGGAAGAAAACCAAGAGATGCGGAATGCCATGATACGCCGAACATCGGATTGACTTCGAGTTAGAGAAAATGTCAGCGTTATTTCACGGTCAAAGCAACATGGCGGTGTTCGTCGTGAGTTCGCTCTCTAGGTTGGTCAGCACGTTCCCACATCATTGCCTCTTCCGGCGATGTCACGGATCGTCGAAGCGTTTGACACTCTCAACCACCGAGAGGCGTAAAAGTAGAAACCGTCAGCCGGCAAGGCTAATATCCCATGAGACATAAGAAGCCACAGCAGGCCGGCGGTGGATATGAAAGCGTCAAGATATCACCAAAATATGGTACCGGGGCTGAAAGCCAGGAGGATATGGGTGAAGGCACCGACATTTTCCCAGCACCATAACGCTAGAGCGCGACATGTCTCATTCCCCGACCTTCACATGCATGCCAATGAGAGTGCCACACATTCCTGACACTTTGGCTTTGACGCTAATGTCCCGCCTCCGTCAAGATCTTCTAAACGCGTCCGGCGTAGCGGTGGCTGAGCGTAGGGGCGCGTTTTACAGGTCCTTCCGACACGAGATGATGAGAAGGCGGGCCGAGGATGCCAGGCAGAGGTGCGACTGAGCCTTCTGCCTTACCAAACGGATGACCGACATAGTTTCTTGCCGCGGCTTTTCTTGAGTTCTGACGAGCATGCATCGTTCCCCGTTGTTCATGCAGCAGAGATCGCTACTATCAGTTGGCTCCCTCAAGGTGTATTGAGCCTCATGCATCACTCCATGAATCTAGGGGTGGGACCGTCAGCCTCCCTCCAAGCTCACATACTACACGATCTGAAGCATGAGTATATCGGTGAATTTGATATAAGACGACCGTCACTCCTTTACCAAGCAGGAGGTTAAGGACCGGACGACATCAGAACGTGCATTCACCTTATAGATCACCGTCATCACTCACCATCGCCTCCCTCGACCGTGCTCACAGCACAGAGACCTTGCCCGCAGCCATATCAACCCATCCGTCACCCAGTACTTGCAAAGCAGGACTTGATCCGCACTCACACACACTCACAAACACTCACATATACCCATACATACTCTCACAATGCGTCCCTCAACCTACCTCGTCGCAGCCCTCTGCGCAACAGCAAACGCCCTGCAAGCCATAGACGTACCAAACCGCGCCGGCGAAGCCATAGCAGCCGCCAACGCAGCCATCAAGGAACGCCGCGACCTCAACGCCTGCACATCCGTCGCAACCTCCCTACTACCCAAAATCACCGACAACGTGCCCACCCCGCCCGCCGATGTGGCCGCCTACCTTGCGCTCTCAGTGACCATCACGGACGCCTGCTCCGACCCGACCATTACCGGTTCAATCGGCTCCGCGTACTCGACCTATGCGTCGTCATACACGTCGTGGAGAGACAAGCACATCACCGACTTCCGCGCGCTGTGGCAGGCTTGCAGCGACGTTCCTGGCATCGTGGACGTTTTGCCTACGGGCACGAATCAGTGTAGCTCCGTCGTGGCGCAGATTACCAGTGCGGGGCCGGTCAACGGCGGCGGGTCCGGGGGCATCGGGGGATCGCACAACGCTGCTGCTAAGCCTAGAGAGACTGGGGCTGTTGTTGCGGCGGCGGCTATGGCTGGGTTCGTCGTTGCTGCTATTCAGTGAGAGTTGGTTCGATGCGTCTTGCCTTTACCTGACTTAGAGAACTGGGAACGGCAACTTTCATTGGCACAAGTTGCTACCTTGATTGAGGGGGAAGTAAGGAGAATTATGATTTTGCTGGAAATTTCACGGCCTTTTCAATAGCATCAGACGTGGAGGAGAAACATACTTGATACTTTCATTCCCCTCGTTGAAGCTGTCCATAATGACTCCGTATACGCCCGCTTCCACCTGGTATCTTGATGTTTCCTCCCACATGTCTTTTCGCATACTTGACATTATCATTAGTTTTGTTTCCAAAATATCTACAAGAATCCTCCTTCATCATAACAAGACGGCAAAGTTCCAATTCTCTACCGCCGCATGCGACTTTTTCAAGTCCCGCTTCAGCCAGCACCGCAGCTCCGCGGCGCCATTGATCATAACGTTGCCCCACGATACGCCGGTGCACTGGGCTGACTTTGCGCAAATCTCCATGCAGTCGCCCATGGTGCTCGCCTGCGTGTTGGACATGTCGATGGCGCCGTCGTCGCCGCTGTAGTCGACCCCGCAGACCCGGAGGAAGCGCTTGTCGGAGCCGATGACGTTGTAGACGGTGTTGTCTGCGTCTGGGCAGATTGCGTTGCCGCTCGAGGTTGCTGTCGGCGACGGGGCAGACGTGGAGGTGCTTGTCACCGAGGTCGGTATCGTTGTTGATGATGTCTCGGTTGCGGTTGCGTCGCTGCTGCTCCGTGGCATAGCAGAAGAGCTGGACATTGTGGGCACGATCATTGTTGTTGATGCCGAGCTTGCGCCGGTAGTTGGCGTGGGCATTGAAGTTGAGCTACTGAGGAGAGCTTTGTTAATCGACAGATCCACGCGCATATCAAAGTTCAAGAGAGGAAGAAGCACATACCTCGTCGTCGCGGCGCTCTGGTCCGACTTCTGATTCGCGCCAATGCCGACACCAACACCAATACCAACTCCGAGAACAACCGCAATAATCAGGGCAACGAGCAACCAAAACACCCACATCGTCATACCGCAGCACTTGCGCTTCCTCTTGCGGTCACTATCCTCCTCGTCGTGATCGAACACGCTCTGCCGATACCCCCGCGATCGAGCAGCCTTGTCGCCCCCGGCACCCTCCGGCAGCGGCGGCGTGTCTTCGCGGTAGAACGTGAACTCTTCATTGTTCATGGGCGTCGGGTCGTCGCCCGCCCAGTAGACACTGGGTATGGATGCTTTGCCAAAGATGGATCCCTTTGCGCTCCGGATGGTGGCCGCTTTACGGGGTGACGGCACGGTACGTTTTGCTTTCAAGTCGCGGGGGACGATCGGGTCCGGTTCGTCCGGCGGAGGAGGGCGGTCGTTCATCATCTTGTTACCGATGATTCCTATCCTCTTGCCACCTTACTTTGATCTGGTCGTATCCGATTCCTCTAGTTGGATTCCGCCTGTTGAATACCCCTCCAGTGTTGCCCAATTCCTATTCGATCCCGAAGCAAAAAGCTGGCAAATGCAATTGCCGATGCCAGGCCTTGCAGATAATAATTGCCAGAGTTGCTTTCTTTCGGCGGCAAGGCTATTGGCGTTGCGTGTAGGTTGGGTTATACGGCGAGATCCCGCACCATTATCTCGGCCTTCCCGGGACGTGGACAGAGTTTCGCAGCCTTGCTGTGGCTGAACCCTTGATATAAAAGAAACGAATGTATCTCGAACAAATGCGACCTTGTTTCAAACGAGCGAAAGTGGGCGCGCCCTGGGAAGCGCAATGCGCCGCGCTGCTGTGAATTGAATTTGGGGGTCCGGTGTTCTCTCTCTGCCCGTATTTCTAAACCCCAGCCCCGGTACACGTCAAGCGGGAAAAGAGTGAACCGCTTTGTGGGATTGTTTCGCCTTCAATTGAATGAATGAAATTGAAGCGAAACGTAATGAATGAGAGTGAGTGAAGGAAGGGGGAACAGGAAGAATGGAAGGCGAGAGAGAAACGAAAAGTGGGCAAGCAGAGTCAACTGTTACCTGCGAATCCATGATCCGTTCAGGAAACTCTCCTCCTGGCCCCCTGTTGCTGGGCTTTCTCCATCAATAAGAGAACCTATATAACAGAGTCCGGAAGTGGTGCTGCCCCTGTTGTGATAATTTCCCGTGCCTGGGGGATGATGTGACGGACTAGGCCGCTTTGGCACGTCCAAGCAATCTACACCATGGAACCGTGGTTTTAGGGGCAAGGATCATGACGGTGTTGGCTCGTGGCTCCACGAGATGAGAACCAACACAGAGAATCACTTGAGTTGGAACGGGTCGAAACGTCTAACGTAAAAGAAAGAAATGATCAAGTGAGAGAAGATATCCAGAGATTGACATGCCCAACTGGAATGCGAGCAAACGGCGTGGTGCCCATACTTTCGGGATATTCGCCTGCCTCACCCGAGGAATGCAATGCGACTGTGACGGTCGACCCGACTCACCATTCCCAAAACCGCCGATGAAGACAACGCTCGGCGGGCTGTTTTCCTCGACAAGTTAGCTCCCCCAAGCAGTTGGCTTACCCCCTACCCTCATCGAAAAGAAACGGTCCTAGCGCATCCAGACCAGACAAGCACACAGATAACAAGACGAAAGCATGTGCGAACTGCAAAGTGCGAGCCAGCCGTGCCAGCCACCGGGTGCTAAAGAAAGCACATTGTGGTGGACGCGAAGGAAGTGTGGGAGTCTGACTTTGTCGCGCTGGCGCCGCGAGTTTTGTACTTTGCGTCTGAGTCGACCCCTCATCCCTCCCATAGTGATTTAAAATGATCCTTTGGCCCCCTCCACTCTTCTAACAGACGGTACGGATTCATGTGAGTTCTAGCCTTGCTTCCCAAGATGACGGTCCGCCGTGCATGAGCCCGCGCCGGACATCTGTTCGCTTTGGCGCGCTTTCTTTGCGCTTTGCCTCGCCTCGATCGCTTCCGCTTTCCCGCGACGGCAACGGACTGTGCTACAGATGAAGTGTTGAGTGGCGCAAACTCTCAAACCCCTCATCTTGTAAAGAGCAAAGAGCCTCAGTGCTTCACTCATATTCGTTGCCGTGGTCACTTGATCCAAGCTGCGGCAGGGTAAGGTGAGCCAGGAGCAGAGGTAAAGGGCAGAGAGGAAAGGGAACCGTTGGAAGTTTTTGGGAAGAAGGGAAACTGAACAGAGTCATGGTATTGGTATGTGCGGAGCAGAGAACTGGTCAAACTAGCAGAGTTTGCGATTCATGAAGGGACCGTTCATCTCAACTTTTTCATCCCAACGGTGTCCCTGCGAGGAGCCCAACCTCGAAAATATTCGATGGGAATACGGAAACGGCAAGGGAAACGAACGGGCTGGGGGAAACGAGTGACAAAAGCCTGCTTTCCAGCCTTGCTAGCTTCGAGAATAACAACAACACTCAACTCTTGACGCCCGATAATCAAACTCCCACGGCCCAAAGCAACCTGCTTTCACAGCATTCCATGGCCCAAGCCCCTGTCCAAGCCCTTGTCGTCTTTTTCTTGCGAAAGAAGGCCCATTGCCAGAAGAAAAATTCTCCGAGCTCTGGAAGCCCTGGAATGCAGCCTAGAATTCTTCTTCCTCTAATTATGGCTGAAGCACTCTGCCACTGACGCCTGAAAGCTGAAAGCCTTGTGTTCGTCCTCGGCTGTTCGAGTCTCCGTCACACTAACAGTAAACAGGTTCCCGTTGCCATTGAGAAATGAAGACGAGGTCGGTACGGGTCTACTAGTGATCAAGTCGAGAAACTGTCAAGGAAGCCCTTTGCTCTCTTGGTCTCCTCTCCGAGTTCTCCAGCCCCCAGTCCCAGGGCGATCGCTGCAAGTCGGGCATGAGGTGGTGTGGATCATCTCCACGAACATCCCGGCATTCCGTCCATCGGGCACCAACTCGACGCCGCTCTCTTGAGATGAAGTGTTGATGCCAATCAACTCTTTCTCCCTTTGGAAGCTTCCTTTAAACATGCACGTCGTCCCGGAGCGGGTGGCCAATGTTGCATGACTCCCGCAAGACCTTTCCTTGTCTGCTTTTATACTCGCTGCGTTTCTTGCTGTTTTCGTTGGGAAAATTTTCCAAGCGGCCTGTCCTTACCGTCCCATCCCGCTGTCGAACCAGACCAAAAAGAGCGTGAAGCCATCGTCAATTTTTTTCAGCTGCAGTGGAGATTTCATTTTGATAGTCATTTCGGCCCGTGGACTGCAGCATGACCCATCGACAGGCCCCGCCGCAGCCGGCCCGGAGCTCGCGGCCCCAGACCGAGAAGGTGTCCAGCTCGGCCTCCAAGAGCAAGGGAACTAAGACACCGACACCGGCTCCGGCACCAGCCCCGGCTTCCAAGTCCGCGAGGCAGACAACTCCCATCGCTGCACCGAAGCCCGTTCGCCCCGTCTCTTCTCACAAACTTCAGCCTCCTGTGCAGCAGTGGACGGGGAACCCGAGCCCTCCCTCTTACACCAGCTTCAATGTCCCGCCACCCGCCAGTCCGGTACCGAAAGCCGGCGCCGGCGGCCCTTCAGCACCCCCGAAAGCTCCCTTATCCGGCCTCGGCCGTGTTGCTGACCTCCGCAGCCCGGGACCCGGCGCCCTCACCAGCTTTCCTCCGCCTCCGCCGACACCGCCGCAGAGAGAGCCCACCGGTTACTTCCCCGCGGGCGCAGGACAGCAACAACAACAACTATCATCAGCCCAAACCAAGGCGGCCGCAGCTCGTATCCCGGCTAGTGCGGCCAATGGTGTCCTGACACCACCCGAAAAGGCAAGAAGGATTGGGGGACCTGAGCCGCGGCCTGGCGTGATCGATTTTGACAACCTCGAAGAGACGCTCCAGAACCTGCGCTTCGCGCCCTCGCCGATGCTGTCTACTATCTACTCCGCCCCGTCAACCCCTCGCGACGAGCTCGCCACGCCAGACTTCACTGCCAGCACCACCACATCGTGTTTCACGCCTCCCTCTACGAACCCGACGCCTGAACCCGTGACGCCGTTGGATCTCACCCCTCGAGGACCGCCTCCAGCGCAAAAGCAGCAGCAGCAGCAGCAGCCAAAGAAGGAACTCACAATGTCGCCCGCGAGACCGCGCGCCAACTCTCGAAGGGCTAGCCCGCCCAGCAGAAAGCGAGGACGCGGCGTCGTCGCCTGCATCGACAGCCCGGTCACCTTTTGCACGACGTGGTACACGCACCCTACTGCCCCCGACTTCTCCATCTGCTCAAAGTGCTACGAGGACCATCTCGTCGGCACCCGCTTCGAGCATGACTTCAGAGGCAAGATCTGCGACGATAACAAGCCGCGGGTCTGCCGGTTCAGCAAGCCCCGCGTCAAGGACCATCTTCTCCGCAATACCCTCGCCACGGGACGCATTGAGGACCTCGTCAGCTTCCTCCTCCATAGGAGCGCTGTTCCGGACTGCAGGGGCGCCGATGGAGCCAAGGGAAGCGAAGGCGCTAAGTGGTATCGTCCAAAGAACAATGCTGTGCCAAACATGGTTGTCTGCCATGCCTGCTTCGAGGACCATATCCAGCCGTACCGCTTCGCGGCCAACTTTGAGCAGGCCACGGGACAAGCCACCAACGATATCTGGTCCTGCGACCTCTCCACCCGCTATATCCAAAACATTTACAAAGAGGCGGCCGTCAAGGACGACTGGCCCGGCTTCACCAAGGAAGCCCTCGCCAGGATGAACCTTCCCCCTTGCGCCAAGCGCCAAAAGGTCACCGTCACCTCCCGCAAGTGGTTCACGCCCACGGCCGCGGGCCACGACGGCGTCCTTGTCTGCGCCGCGTGCTACTGCGACTTCGTCGCCGGCACCGGCGAGGAAGGAAAGTGGTGCGACGCCGGCACGAACCTCGCCTCGCGGTACGGCAGCCTCGTCTACTGCGCGCTGGGACACTTCAACATTGGCATCGCAATGTCCTGCGCTACTGAGGCCAAGCAGTACTCCATCTTCTGGAAGGCTCTCGACGCCGCCTGCAACGAGGAGTTTTGCAGCCCGCAGGGCATCACGGATGGGACATGGTACACGTTCCCCTCCCACCCGGCCGAGTTCGGCATCTGCGCCGCCTGCGTGGCCAACGTCGCCGAACCCCTCGGCCTGAGCTCCTCTCTCGTGCCAAAGTGTGGCGTATCTTCCGGCACGACGCTTCTGTGCTGCTTTAACCCCGCGAACCCGCGCTTCGCACCTTACATGACGAAGCTTCTAGAGTGCCACTTCACGGCCGACACCCAGCCGCTGGAGTCCTACGCCCTCGAGTTCGCCAGCCTGCCCCTCTGCCCGCGCGACGAGGACTTCCGCGACAGGCGATGGTATGGATGGCAGGACTGCACTATTTGCCCGTCGTGCTACCATGAGTCCATCCGCGGCACCACACTGGCGGCCGCCATGCCGCTCAAGGGCGTCACCGTGGCTGCGAGCCTCATGTGCGAGATGTACAGCCCGCGCATGCGCAACCTCTACGCCCAGGCTTGTGCCCGTAACGACCCGTCCGAGCTGCTCCGGGTCTCCAAGGCCCGTCGGGCCGTCTATGTCGAGACGGTGCCTACGATCCGGCAGATGATTATGGAGGCGCAGATGGCGCTGGGGCAGCAACGCGTATTGAATGTTGCGAGCTCGACGAGTCGGGCTATGGGGCAGGCTAAGGAGGTTGTTATGCCAAGCCAAGGTGTATACAGTATGCCTGGCGTTGGGTTCGGTTTCTCGAACCACTTTGAGGCTCAGGGGGCCTCGTATAGCAAGCAGGCAAACTCGATCATGGCAGAGTATGGGTCGGGATCGCGGACGCATGTTATCGGGACGTTGGAGAAGAGATGGAGGGAGGTTGAATGAGTTGGATGCCTTGAATGAGCGAGGACGTATATGCATGTTTTTCCCTTTGTCTAAAGATACCACTTAGAATATTGAAAACTCTTTCCAAATATCCATCATCTCTAGCCTCACTCTTACACCGATGTTTTAACCGCAGTTCCAGAGCACGGAACATTACTGCGTGAGTTTCGGGTACGCACTCAGAGCTGCCTGACCACCAGTATGCAAGAACAGGGTGGCTTTCCCACCAAACCCACCAGCCTTGGCGGTATGCAGCAGCCCAGTAAACGCCTTGCCAGTATAAACTGGATCAGTGAGGATCCCCTCCGTCCGAGCCAACGTCTTGATGCCCTCCGTCGTCCGCTCATCAAGGTGGCCATATGAGCCCCCAAGGTAATCATAATCAATCTCAAAGTCTTCCCTTGTGATCGACTTGGGATCCAGCCCAATCTTCTCCGCCGTGGTCTTCGCAATTCCCAGCACCAGCTCCGCCACGTCGTCCTCGGGCTTCCTCAAAATCGAGTACCCGACCAGTCGCTTCCGCGCACCATCCCGGCCAAGCTGCTGCGCAAGTTTGAAGCCGGTGACAAGGCCGCCCAGGGTCGAGCCGGAGCCGACTGCGACTACAATGTTGCCGATGTTTGTGCTGTGTTTGTCTTCCCACTCGAGGAGCTCAAAGGCCCATCTTGCGTAGCCTAGGCCGCCGAGGGGGTGTGTGCTCGCGCCAGCGGGGATCACGTAGGGCTTCTGCCCGCGACTCTCGAGGGCAGCGACGACGTCTTCTTTGCTCGTATTTGGTGGGAAGGTCTCGGCGCCGAGAATGGAGTTGAGCTGGATGTTACCAGCGTACTTGTATTCTAGGTCTTCTGATGAAACCGCAGTGACGGGGAAGAGAGCAACCTGTTCATCTGTCAGAGAGAACTTGCGCCATTCGAAACGGGATAAATAAGCCCTCCATGTGAGAGTCGTAAGCTCACTTTCAAACCTAGTTTCGCCGCAGCCGCAGCAGTCTGGCGCATGTGGTTCGACTGGGTCCCGCCGGTCGTGACTATTGTATCCGCACCTTGATCGATGGCGTCCGCCAAGACGTATTCTAACTTCCGCACCTTGTTGCCCCCAAACGCTAGGCCAGAGTTGCAGTCATCGCGGGCGATATAGATGCCCCCCTCCTTGGTCCCCTCCTGTTCAGGGAGTCGGTGCAGCTGCTCAATATCTACCGGTCGATCATAGGTCAACAGGAGACGAGGGATCTTGCTGAATGGATGTGGAAGATTGACCATGTTCACTTGATCTCTGGTTTCATACAAAGGATATCATTCGGGATTTGTCTTGATAGATCTTGGTGTTTATGTTTGAGGTGCGAGAGTTGTGGCCTCAACTTGGGACTTTGGAAGGGGGGCCATCTAAGGTGAGATGAGTGACCCCGCTCCAGCTAATTCCATGTAAGCCTATGACGTGCGATTTGGGAACAACGTAGTGTGGTTTGTAAGCGCTGGTGGCTCTGAACTTGGCTCATCACGATCAGATAATCTGGTACGTCGATATATCTCATGTTCATATGATGTCAAGGAGATATCGGCACACCTGACCAAGGAACGCCAAAAACGTCAAATATCAACTAGATAGCTTTGAATAGTGTCTTGTGAAACCACGCTCTTGTTTTCTAGACAGAAGGATAAGAAGTCTACAGTCTGTCACTCTTGTTGGAAGTCACGACACCATCGTCTTCCCTGAAGACTCGGGGTTTAGACAAAGTGCAGGTTATTCGGCGACTCCTCTTAGTTGGGCGCGCTCAAGACTGATTAAACTGTTCATCACCGCAACCTCGAACAGTCTTAGGGACCACAGGCCGTCCACGTCAAACTTTCTTTCGGCCATCGAGGTATCGAACAGATAAGTTGAGAAGCACCCTCTAGCTCGATTCACTCCACTGCTTGATGCCAAGTCCCCTTCTCATCTTCTTTTCGACACCTTCGTTCCACTACACGCGTGTGATAACTCCTCCGCAAAAACACAACCTCAACAAAGAGCCCAGGTACAGATTACCAAAGACACAATAGCAACAATGCAGTGGACAATTATCTACTGGCTCCTGCCTCTCGTCTGCGTGGCCCAAATCCCTGTTAACCCGCTCCCCTACACACCCCTCGGGCCCAACCCCACCCAGAAGGTATTACCCAGCACGACCTGGTGCGCAACAGTAACGCCCACCGAGATCCCTGGTGTAAAGCCCAACGCAACCCTCTCGTGTACAACATACGCCCCGGAACCGACAGCGTTTGCTCGATTCAGCCGCATCCCGAGGGCCCGAGGCCAGGCGCGATGCTGGTACGACAGCTACGTCGACAGGATCGAGATCGAAAAGCGCTTGCCAAACACTCAGGCAGAAGTTCTCAAAGGTGTCTACGAGTGCCAGGATAGGTGCCAGCAGCCGCTCTCGAACGGCAAAGAGTGCAAGTATGCCGTCTACATCAAGGCAGGGCCTAGGTCTAAGGACCTTTGCTTGTTGGACAATCTGGTTTACGACCCATATGCTGTTAATTACCGTGGCCCATTTGATTCTTGGCTGTGCATTGGCAGTGAGAAGATGCTGCCTGAGATTGAAGATGCTCCGGATGTAAGTTCAGATATCTGTCAATAGACGGTTAACATTATTCCGTAACTCACAATTTCAGACGAACGAAGGGGAGATATAAGCTCTTTGGGCGTGGAAGTATCGATCAGTTCTGCAATAAAATTCGAAGCCTGGCAACATCAGCACCATCAAGACGAGATTCCTGGTACCATCTTCGACTGGTAAACATACAACAAGAATAAATGCAGATGGACCTTACTGATATCAAATCTTTCCAACATGGCAGCTCAATTCAACCGGTAGTCTATTCGACATGCACCGTGTTATGCTATGGGGATTGCAAGTAATAGCTAATGAGAATATCAGTACACCAGGAATATCCCAATCTATGCGAGGTACCTTAATCTGAGATGTAAACATGAGGGAATCAAGAATGATTAATGCGTCCACTTCCTCCACATTCAGCCCTTTCGTGAATCGATCCTTACACCATGCCAAACCAAAGTGGATCACAAGTCGAGCAAAAACGGACGAACATCAAGACGGCGGATCTGCGAGCCTTCACATATGCGATCCCAAATAAAGTTCCTAATGCAGCTGGCGGGCTCAAAAGATTGCAGGGATCGATAATGCTATCCGATCAGCCTTCGAGATTATGTCCCATAAGAGGAACCAGACTCCTCGAAAGAACTAAATAATTGAAGCGACAGTAAATGCTAAGGTATATGTGCCATAGCGCCTAAAATATGCAATCCAAATCCATAAACACAGATTTCATTCCCTGTTGATGTTCGTAAAAAGCCAAATTATTCATCAAGAAACCCCTCATCCCCACAATTACAAGAAGAGAGCGCCAATGGCAGCGGCACCAATCAGGCCGAGACCTTGAGGCGACACAATACCCGCAGCGTTGGGGGTCTGGGTAGTCTGACCGCCCGCCGTGGTCGGGGTGGTGCTGCTGCCGCCGCTGTTGCTGCCGGATCCGGATGCGGAGGTCTGAGTCGGGGAAGAGGATCCGCCGCCGACGGCGCCGGGGGTGATGGTAGTGGTGAGTTGGGCCGAGGCAGTGGGGCGGGCCGCTGAGACGGACGGGGTTGTAGACGCGTAGGATGCGGTGGAGGCGTAGGAGGTGCTGGCAAATCCGCAGGTTCTCAGGATGTCGTTGATGTCTAGGTTAATATAGGTTAGTACAGGGAAAGATCGGGTGATGATATGTTGTGGTTTATGTGTTTACCATCCAGGTCATCTCGGTCACGGACATTCTGGTCCATGCAGCTTGCGCAGAGTGCGGCATACTGGGAGACGTTGATGCTGTTGTTCGTGCAGACGCACTGGGCCTCAAGACGGTCCTCGGTCAGGTCATCATTGACGAGGTCGTCGTTAACCTCGCAAGCTTGGCCGAGGTCGTAGATGGGACGGCAGACGGCCTGGCACTGGGTGGGAATGTCATCGTTGTCGAGCTGGAGGTCGGCCTTAACGAAGGCGACGGCGGCAAGGGACAAGGCAACGCGGTTGAAATGCATTTTGGCTGTTGAAATTGTTCTTGGTGTCTAAAGTCGGTTGAAGGCTGAGTTTGGCTGTGAAAGTGTACTCAATAAGATGATGTTGTGATTGTTGATGGTATCGGAATGATGATGGGAATCCAGGATGTAGGGCGGGATGATGCCGGATATATACTCATGTTTCAAACGACTCTCCTCCTAGGTGAGAGGATCCATTGATCAACAACACAAAGTCGATCAACGGCAGAAAAGACAAACCACGTACGAAGAGCACTTGACCGTGTCTCGGGCAGCGACCGCGCATCGTCACTCGGAGGCTTGGGTCTTGGTTGGTCCCTTGGCGCTGGCAGTTCTCCATCTCCGCGACTTCCACTCAGATTGCAGCTATTCGAAAGTGGATTTCGATGAGGGAAGCCAAGAAGCCCCCTAGCTGCCCCAGCCTCAATTGGCGACTCAACATCCCGGGCATTATTCGACGGTAGTTTTTCGTTTGTGTGACCGGCCTGCTAAAGCCCACTGAACAAGTCTAAATTGAACACGCGCTAATTACCTAAAGTTGAGCTCTCGGCAAGTGTTGCTTGGGGGCCTTTCGGTTCCTGTTGTCCATCATGTTGCTCCGTAAGAGCCCTACATCATGTTAATTTCACCTCCGCTGTCCCCGAATCCCCAGGAAAGCTTAATGTGATACGACTAGGGCCCCTTGTGAGTCGATGGACAGTCACAGTTTGCCAGACTCCAAGACGAATCAGTGTCGCGTGCTACAATTGACAGCATAAAAGTTACGGACATGACCGCTGAGGCAAGGTCAATGCCGGCCGACAGCCGGGTGAGTGGCCAAGCACCCCCAAACAACTGAAGTGGCGCTATAATAACCAACCGACAAAACGACAGAGGTAAATCCGTATTATGGGTGCAAGACAGTTGCTTTACTTCCGTGCTTCTCAAGAACGTATGTAGTACAGTTTGCCAGGGTGAGGAACATAGCTGTCTACGCGAATGCCTCGCCTTCTCAACATGCATGCGAGGCAAGATCCGTTACTAAACTTGGACATCTCGTCTCTTCCACAAACTCACAGCTGTGAATATTGCCAAGGCCAAATGCCCCGTCGATTAAACCTTTATCATTATGATTATCTGCTAACCCAATGTACTTCACTTATTCACAGAGGTAAGGTAATTTCTACAGGTAACTCTGTACGTAAAAGCTTAGGATGAAAAATTCGCCGCCGGCACATCCCCGCCAAGCAGAGCAGAGCCACGGCGACACGCACCGGCTCGCCTCTCAGGCTCGCACAACCATAGAGAACACGCATTCCGACAGGCGTTCCGTAAGGGTTTCTTTCCGACAGGATCACCGACCTAACGCTATCCAAGGATCCCAAGGAAAAGATCCGAAGATGAGCTGTCGTGTTTCACATCTCTACTTGGCGCATAGTGTCGGAGAGGGAGAGCCTTGTACATAGTCAGTCCATTATTTGGTTGTTTACGGTTCGTCCAGTCATATTTTTAAAGGTCGAAGGGGGTGTTCCCTGCCAGCCATACCAACTTACCATTCAGTGCCCCCCAAATGACGCTGGGCTGCGGATGATCGACATCAGGTCCTGCCACTGGGATCAGCATCGGCGCAGGAATCTGACCACTGAGGCTAGTTTTCCTAACGTTATTCAGAAAATTCACTTGTCGCAAGTCTCCGCTAGCCTTCGTCAACTCCACGCAACACTCGACGCTATCCCCAGCTTTTCTTGCAGCTTCATAGATAATTTTGTTCGTAGGCAGACACGCGATGCAGTATCGAAGCGGGGTGGCTCTGCTTTTGCCCAAAAAGGTTCCAAAGCTTCGCGTGTCTCCATGTCCAAGCCAGCTGAGGGGAGGTGCGGGTACTGTGATGCTAATTTTAGGGCCTCACGATGCGCTTATATCTTGGCACTCTGTCGAGAGAGATTTCACCCAACCGACAAAAGTCAACACAAGGCCCACTCGAAATTTGACATCGAATAAGCTTCAAACTCTGGTTATGATCGCACGAACTTTTGGGCTTCTAGAATTTTAATCCTAGCGAGAGAAACTACCGTGAGCTATTCCGAACAATTGTCGTCTGTTTGCCGATCTCTCCACGGGGTCCACGCAATATGCCAAGACATCACTGAAGCTTCGCCTCGCTGAAAAAGGCTGGCAAAAGAGGAGAAAGTAAACCAGGCTGGATACAAATAGAAGAAATTGCGTAAAGACGTCAATCTGGTAGGACAGAAATAGAGTCGACGTGGGGACATCCGGCTTGTACCTATCTAGAAGCCAGACCGCAATTTCACGATCCATATTCGTACTGTTGGGCTGGTCATGAAATTGTTCTGGTAACCGTTTGGGCGGATCGACTGAGCCTGATTGCTTGAAAGCTCTGCGTCCAGCTCGACCCGTCTTCCAACAATCCAGGGAAGTTCCAGCTCATCAGGGTTGAGAAGATCGGTCGTCATCTTGTGGTCATTGTACACGTACGAGGTCGGGGCTCAATACAGTTTGCAAGACGTAAGTTCAAGTGAGGAGAGAATTGCGAGTTACCTCTAACGTTGTCTGGTTCCCCATGATCTCCCACAGACTGTGTCCATCGGATCCATCGAGTAACCTGAGATAACAGATGAAACAGAAATAGCAACATCGCCTGACTCAATGCGAGCCGGATAAGATAGGTTAGAGTTGCCTGTTGTCTCTCCGGTCAAGCATGTTATCACAAAAGTCGAAGTAGCATGCCATAACTTTGGAATGAGAGAAGAGTAGGTTTGATCACCGTTGAATAGATGGGGGTTTCACTTCAAGTATCAAATTTGACTAGTAGATAGAAGCGAGCTGCTCTTTGATAGGCTGGAAGTTGCAGAATTGTTCTTGCGAGACCTTTCATGGACTCTAATACACGATTCGACCTTTTGCAGACGATGCTGTCATTGTCGAATTACCCACCAAAATTCTGTCAGCAGGACATTGTCTAGATTATTCTCGGTGTCTCTAGGCCTCACCGAGTAGATGACTATGAGGATTCTTGACACCCACGCTTCTTGATGGCGATTCTTCGAGACATGGCGCATCCGTCATTGTGAACAGTAGGAGCTTTTACTACCTTCGCCAGCCGCAAGTAGTAATTTGAATTTTGCCCTAGTAGGTCTTTTGGTGAGAAGGGAGTCTATTCAGACATGAGTCACGCCCATATTTTTACTTCCATAGCTAATAGCACCACTTAGTCAACAACGTTGAGACAGATTAATGATTTTCTAATAGTTGAGGTATGAATCTTGCCGTTTCTTACGAGCCACAACCATCGCAAAAAGATAAGTTGGCAATGTGGTAGTCAGTAGGCGAGTTCACGTCAGTAGACAATAGTACTAACTCCTGCTATGATTACCTTACTAGAAACCGGTAGTTGAGCCAAAGACCAAACCTGATAAATCATAAGGCACCAAGGCTTCAGGTAGGGATTGTAAACGCACGAATCTCGAAACCCCCAGCCTATCTCATTCACGCTTAACTTATTTAAGGTGCCTCTTACTATCATGGATGCTTGTGACTTTGAGTTGTCCAGCTCAACAAGTTTTGTCTCTTCTAAGATCGGTGACAGACCATGTTATAGGATTACCAAGTTGTCTATTTAGTGACGTTCGTCAAGAACTACTCATTGAAATTGACTGAATTAGCTTTTGTGTAATCTGTACCGTGATTGGGAGTTATTAAATCATGTTATTAGAGATAGGTTGATGTTTATATGCCATTCGACGTAACGCTAACAATAAAATCGTAACTATGAACATATATACGGCTCCTCGTTAGTAGGAAATTGGACTGATAATAGGGACTTTGCAGTACTTGAGAGATCCCACTTCTCACAACTGTTTGGCCTGGATTTTCAACCCGACCGGGAAGCTTTTGAGCTGCGTGACTGCCTGGAGATGGTGGATACTGGCGACTCTTCAGGTTTCCATACTGTAGACAAGCCACCAGAGAGTCGAATCAACCACCTGTGTTGACTGTTCGAATTTGACAACTGCATTATTCGTTTTTCTCATGAATCCCTCTCTGGGATCAGTCGAAAACCACGATAACCTTGTTCGCCTTGCCTGACTTGGCCAACTCTAGCGCCTCCAATGCCTGGTCGAACGGGATCTGATCACTGACGATCTCCGCATACTTGTCCCAGTTATCGACGATATCATCAGTGACCTCGAAAATCTCTGTCGGATATCCCACGCTGAAAACAATGGTCAGTTCCGTCGAAATCAACTGTGCAAAGTTTAATTCCGTTGGCTTTCTGTGGACTCCGACCACACCAAACGTGGCACCTCGCTTCGCCATCTTGCACACCTGCGCAGGGACCGGCGGCGCGCCCGCCGCGTCCAAAAAGATATCGGTACCAGGACGAGTGCCTCGGTTCTGTGCCGTCGCTCCGTCTCCTTGCAACTCGACCAACTTTGCTGCCAGATCTTCGGCTTCCGCTGAGTTGACGACAGCATCGGCGCCGACTTTGAGAGCTTTTTCGAGTCTCGTGTTGACCACGTCCACAACAACAATGTGGCTCGCCCCCTTTCTTCGATACCCCAAGACCGCGCCCAGACCGATGGGGCCCGCGCCAAAAACGACAACCTTGCAGCCCGGTTTCGGGCTCGTCCTGTTTACCGCGTGCAGGGCGACCGCCATGGGCTCGTTTAGTGCCGCAATGTGCCAGGGTATGCTCTTCGGAATCTTCTTCAGGTGCTTTCGTGGCTTGTAGTTGTATATGACGACGTATTCGCACAGCGCACCCTGCGCACCGCCCGAGCCCAGCAGGCCATCCTGAAAAACCATTGTGTCTACCACGACATGGTCGCCGACTTCGACGTCTGGTGACTCAATGTCCGTTCCGATTTCTGCAACTTCTCCTGCTGGCTCGTGGCCGAGGGGCGTACAGCCCTGATAGGGCGGGATGCCGCCGTGATCGGTGTATAGGCTGTCGGAGCCGCAGATACCGCAGGCCTTGATTTTGAGGAGAACGTCTTTAGGGCCAGCTTCGGGTTTCGGGTGGTCGACCCACGACACAACACCGGGCGCCGTGATTTCAACACGCTTCATGACGGGCTCAGGCTGGGACTGAACAAAGAGAATGTCAAAGGATGGTCGCTGGAAAACAAAATCACGTTTAAAGGAGAGTTGTAGCGGAAGCCCATCCTCCTGAGCGGAATATGAGTCCCGCTCATGGTCTCTTATATTCTATTTCCTCTTCGGTTTCAATTGACTTCATCGTTTGGAAAGCGAGACCGATACCGAGACATCGTGAAGACACAAATGAGAGGCAGCTGAGTGCGAAAGGGGGGGTGTTGCGACGAAGGTTGACAACTGCTCCCCGAAACTAGCTCCCCTTCCCTTTTTGCTAGGGCCCCCTAGCTTAGTTCTTGATGCCGCGAACCTTACTTTGGAGTTCGGTAAGTGGTTCAGTGCAACACATGCTCCCATTGGCGACCCAAGTTAGTGACTAAGCGCTATCAGGAGCACTACTCTCACTGTTAGCCTTCGGGTTTAGGTTGTGCTGCGGAGTACTCCGCCCGTACCTTACTTCCAGGACTCATCGTCGGAAGAAGAAATGACCGTGATAGGGGCATCATGCCATCAGAGCCGGCCAAGAAGATCTCGTGAGACTCTGAACCTCGATAACGAGAGACGATATGGAGACGACTGCTGACATTAGCTGTAGATGCAAGAGATGCCAATACCGAAAGGCATCTTGAACCCTCGCAGCTTGGGCCGGCGTAACAGAACTTCACTGACTCGGCGTTCTGCGCTCACAGCTAAAATGCTCACGCACGGAGCCCTGCCAGAATTGCGCAACTGCTCAACAAATTTGCGAGTATCGAGAGGTCGACCGTAAACGACGGCCCGCGACACACGAATATGTTGTCAGCTTAGAGAATAGAGTCGCATGGCTGGAGTCATTCATCGGCAAGCTCCAAGCGGCGCCGAGCCCGGAGCGGGATAATCTGCTAAAGACCGTCTCCTTCGGGGACCACCTCTCAGCCCCGGAGCCAGCCTCAGTGGTGAATGTGAGCGAAGAGAAGAACCCCGAGCCAGCTAGAGGCAGCAGCGAGAATCTTCAGGTCGACCTCGAGGGTTCGCTCATTTACCATGGTGCGACGAGTATCTATCGCGCGCATCTTGGGGTGCCAGCACGGGGCAACGCCTCACCCTCACGGGAGCTCTCTGCAAACTATGTCGTCGGCCCCGACTCAAATTTCGAGCATGTGGCGGAGCATTTCGGGATCAACTTAAACGACGAGCTCGTTGATGACGCATTGATGCAGTTTTTCAAATGGCAGTACCCGCACTTCATGTTTATTTATCGTGAAGCCTTCTTGAGGGACCACTTTGGTGACCGGACTCGCGGCAAGTATTGGTCGTCGGCTTTGCTCCTGTCTATCTGTGCCCTGGGGACACTCATGTCACCAGAGAAGCGCCACAGAAATGCGAGTGAACAGTTCTTCTCCGCTGCCGAGAGCATACTTATCGTCTCCGGCTTCACGAAACCTTCCATCGTCACCGTACAGGGCTTCCTCTGCCTGGCGTTCTACGAGATTGGAAGGGGGAATCTCTCAAAGGGATGGGGCTTCTCAGGTAGGTCCTTGCTGATGATACTCAGTTCGTTCACGTCTTACGTGATACTGAATATGATCGTGTCTAGGAATCGCGTTTCGCATGGCACAAGATATGGGTTTTCAAAGGGACCCGAAACATTGGGTATCACACGATGCATCACTAGCTACCGTGGAAGATTTGGAGATTCGCAGGCGCATCTTCTGGGGATGCTACACTTCTGATAAGTTGATCAGTCTGATCCTTGGACGATCAGTGTACCTTTTCTACGATGACGCAGAAGTCGAAACCACCAACAGGCTCCCGTAGGTCCCAAGTGTACCCCCATGCGCTTTTACCTCATCATGTATTGATAACCGGTCAGAGACTTTCCAGAGATGAAACCCTGGCTCCCTGCTGGATTTTCAGATTATGATGGAGGGTTTGGTATTGTCAATCCCCTCATACCATGCTTCAAGGAGCAGATCCGGCTTTCCAAGGTTATCGAGAAGATGCTTTCAAAGTTGTTCTCAACCAAAAGCAGCCTGGAGGGCCTCGGTCGTCAATCGTGTCTCGACAGCCTCAACTTCGAGCTCTGTAGCTGGTACGAAGCATTGCCGGACTGTGCAAAATGGAACAGATGGGAACCACCAAGCACTCTGCTCATCCCAAGCGTGTCAGCACTTCAGTTAGTTCAAATTCCTTCTCAACCCCTCTCCTATTACTTCATCATGAAAATGGTACTGAAATCCAATTTCCCATCAGGCTTCTCTTCCACAGCGTTCGAATTGCGCTAAACTTCGAGCAAGCGGTGTCCCATAACGTCGCAGCTTTGAAAGACAATGCCCGCAAAGACTGCTTATCGTCTGCGGAAGACATTGCACATATCTTACGAAAATACCGCAGCCAGTACGGTCTTGGACACAGCCCTCTGATGATGATCTATGGAGTCATGCAAGCGGTGAGGGCGTTGTCCTTATTCGGCACACCGGAAGAAGCTCAGTACTTGTTGCATGTTTTGGATGAATGCTCATCTGCTTGGACATTGGCTCAGCAGGCGAGAGATAGATTAACACGAGTCGAGGTGTAAGAGGGTCTTGCAAGTTTCCGCCATCCATTTGATTTGCGTAGAGAAAAAAGTAGTTCAGGACCATGCCAGGTCTCAGGAAGTAACCCTCTATAATTTGAGCAGTTCAGGCGAGGGGTGAGAGACTGCACCAATTGCCTTCCAAGCTCCAAGACCATTGGCAAGAGGTTTGGAGATTCTAGGCACAAGGAATACGAGTAGGTTTCTGCATTATGGAGTGAAATCATCCTATTACGAGCCATGAACTACATCTTCCATCTCTGAAAGCCCTCAGGGCGACGGAAGGCCCGCCTCTAATCCTGTCTTTAGGACACTAACAAGTTTCTTCACGTCTGAAGAGTTATTAAAGAAACCAAAAGAAACTCTGATGCCCAGGCGGTAGGGTGTAACAAGCACCCCATTCTCCTTCAAGAGATCCATCCACCTGGGGTCGTGCAAATCCAAAATGTACAAATGAGGCGCATGATCCTTGCGGGCCGAAGGGCCGACTATCCTTACCCCAAGGCTACGGCACTCCTCTCTCAACACGCCACCCAGGCGATAGAGGTGCTCCTGCACACGCCCGGGGCCCATGGAATCCAGATAAAAACTCAGAAACGCCTTTGCAGCCGCGGCACTGATCAAGCTCAAATTCAGGTGCTCATACCGGCGAGCCGAGGGGTGATATACCACCTCTTCAGAGGGAACCAACAGATCAGCGCGCACGTTGCTGACGGCCCCGTAGCCGACAATGGGCGGAGTGGGGTCGGTTTCGGCGATGAACTCCGGGTTCACGTAGAGAACCGCGAAGCCTGTTGGACAGTTCAGCCCTTTGTGCAGACTGAACGCCGCCGCGGAAACGCCCAGAGCTCGAACGTCCATTTCTGCGAAGCCGACCTGTTGCGTGAGGTCTGCGAGAACGTGAATTCCGCGTGGTCTGTATGTTGCGCAGATGTCGGCGACGTCGTTCCACTGGCCGCTGTGGAACATGATGGAGCTGAGGCCGATGGCCCTGGTGCGCTCGTCGACGTAGGGCGCAAAGGTTGCGGCGTTGGCGGCCGTGACGTGCCCGGTCTCTTCCGCGGTGGGGATGGTCGGCACCTGTCGGACCTCTAGACCGGCTTTGCGGAGAGCCATCCATCCGTAGACGTGGTTTGGGTGCTCCGTGTCCAAGACGACGACGTTGTCGCCGGGCTCGAACTTAAGGCTTCGGATGAAGCATCCCAGTGCCTCTGTTGTGTCACGGGTGAAGGCTAGAGAGGATGGGTCGGCGTTGATGTAGCGACCGACTAGAGCACGAGTCTCTTCGACGGCGTTCTGCCATTGGGGCTTCGGATGAGGGTTATAAAGGGCATCGGAGGTGAACTTGGCGATGGCACCGTGGATTATCAGGTTTGAGGGGGGTTGGTAGGAGGCATTGAGGTAGGTGAGCCTGTTGTCGGCCAGGAGCGGGACTAAAGACCGGAAGGGAGAGAAATCGGCCTCTAAGGGAGGCAGAGAGGATGATTTGGCCGAGGTTGGGACATCGTCCACGTGTTCTTGAACAGCGCTGGGCGACATGATGAGTCTGAATGGATTGTATGGGCGAAGAGATAAGTTTGATGAGGTTTGATACAGCGATAGGCTCGGCTCTCCTTCATGACCCTCCCAGCTTTTATCATTTCTTCATGTTCCTATATCGGCGCCAACATCCAGACTTATTTCTTGGCATTTCGTCGATGGACCAATATGATTCTTTGGAACTAGACGCGTGTTAGATTGTTGACGTATCATGGGTAACGCCAGCTCATGGAGGTTGAAGTCCGTCTTCAGTACCTGACGAATGACCAAGATCTTAAGTGCACCGAGTAAGCGGGGTAGTCCTGTTAGTATTCTTCGCCAAGCTGTAAGTTCAGGCCCCGAAACTCTCTTACATGGAATGATAGACTAAGAACAGCGCTGTACATGTCACTTTCGTGACCTATGTACTGAGTCGATGTCGAATCATCTGATGTCGTTATAGGGTCACCCCAAGGATCCACGATCGTCAATCCGGCAGCGCGGACTTCGACCTCCATTTGCGGGTCGCATGTTGATAAGAGGCCCCTTTCCCCGCATGTTGGTGCAATTTCGCTCCACGCCAACGTCCTTAGTCTGTGGATTATCTGGACAATGCATGAGTCCTTATCGGTTCCTCGGGTTCCAAGATAACTTTGGATTACGGAGAACAACTTCCATACACTTCATGACTTTGACGATCGCTAAGCCGAGAAGATGTTTTGCGAGATAAGTCCGGAAGGGGATTACGTCTAGTTCCTTTGGTCCTTATCTTACTGGTACGCAGGTTATAAGAAATTGCTGCCCGGCGTCGAGAGCCGACAATGGGGCATCATTGACATTCACGGGATCTATTTATTTGTTTCAATCGCTTCAAGTGCTTATGACTGAGAAGTCACAACACACGATACTCTGAACCCTTTCCGTAAGACTGCCTTACACAATGAGCAGCGATAATATCAGCAGCAAATATGGCAAAACCGCCAACGACGTCGTCGGCACAGTAACGGAGCCCTCTGACATGGAGCCATCAACCTCCAACGTCGAGGGAACTTCCACAGAGACGAGAGGCGAGCAACAGCAACTCAAGCGGGAGTTTAAGGAACGTCACGTCTCCATGATTGCCGTCGCCGGCGCCATCGGAACCGGACTCATCATCGGCTCTGGCACGGGTCTCGTAAGGGGCGGTCCCGCGAGCCTGCTGATCGCGTACACCCTCATCGGCGCGGTCGTTTTCTTCATCATGACGGCTGTGGGAGAGATGGCGACGATGCTCCCTTCGGATAAGGGGTTTGCTGGATACGCTACACGTTTTGTTGACCCGGCTTTGGGGTAAGACTAAAACCATGCTGCCAACACGAAATTATGTTCTTGAACGGGGTGACTTACACGTGGGAAAACAGGTATGCCACGGGGTGGAACTATTTCTTGAAATATGCTATCGTCCTCCCCAACAACCTCACGGCAGCCGGTATCATCATACAGTATTGGAGACCAGACCTCAACGTCGCCATTTTTGTGACAACTTTCACAATAGCCATTATTGCTGTCAATGTAAGTCAAGTATCCGGACGATTATTATTGCCCAATATACATGTACTAATAACCCACCAGATTCTACACGTGTCATTCTTCGGCGAAGCAGAATTCTGGATGTCCGCCGTGAAGCTCCTCGTAATCGTAACCCTCATCCTAACCTGCTTCATAATCTCCATGGGCGGACAGCCCTCCCACGAAACAATCGGCTTCGAATACTGGAACAACCCAGGTGCCTTCGGCTCCTACCTCGTCGAGGGCCCAACAGGCCGCTTGCTCGGCTTCTGGGCTGCGACAGTCCAGGCCTGCTTCGCCTACACCGGCACCGAAGTCGTCGGCGTCGCTTTCGGCGAGGCGCCGAACCCGCGCCGGACGATCCGCAAGGCTGTACGCCAGACGCTTTGGCGTATCGTCTTCTTTTACGTCTTGGGCGCACTGGTGCTGGGGATGTCGGTGCCGTATACCAATGACATGCTTATTGGCGGGACGAAGAAGAGTACTGGGGCTGCGGCGAGTCCGTTTGTTGTTGCGGTGCAGATTGCCAAGATCCCAGTGTTCCCGCACGTCGTCAACGGGTGTCTGCTTGTCTTTGTCCTGAGCGCTGCCAACTCGGATATTTACATTGGGTCTCGTACGCTCTTTGGCCTGGCGCGGGATGGTCAGGCGCCGGGGCTGTTTATGAGGACGTCTGGGAAGGGGGTTCCGCTGTACGGGGTCGCGGCTACGAGTGTCTTCGCGGCGTTGGCTTACATGAATGTCGCCAAGAGTTCCTCCCAAGTGTTTGGGTATCTCGTCAGCTTGGTCACGGTGTTTGGCACCCTCAACTGGGTGAGCGTCTTGACCAGTTACATCTGCTTCACCAGAGGCATGAAAGCGCAGGGTATCCCGAGGAGTCTGATGCAGTATCGTGGGCCGTTGCAGCCGTATGGCTCATACTTTGCTCTATTAGTGACCATTCTGGTTGTCCTTTTCAATGGTAAGTCCATGTCATCTTAATTGCATACATGAAGACTACTTGCGCGATCTTTCTGACACCTATGGCAGGTTACAATGCCTTCATCCCAAAGTTCACGGTGTCTACTTTCATGACCTCTTATATCGGCGTTGCCATCTATCTGGTCAACATCTTCAGCTACAAGGTCTATGCCAAGACACGACGGGTAGGGCTTCACTCGATGGATCTCGTTACAAATAGGCTCGAGGATGACGGGAGTAAGTATCCTAGTACACTGGAGAAGGCGGCTTCCTGGGCGGCAGAACGGCTCAGGCGATAGGATTGATATTATTCAATAGATATTATGGACAGGTTTAATTCGCAAGTGGTATCATCGCGGCTCTTCAGATCTTGGCCCATCCCACATATCTCTACATTCACTCATCACAAAATCATCCTCACTCGCCAACCACCCTGGAACGGCAAACGCCACATGTGACTCTCCCCTGGAAGATAGCGACTGAGTTCGTATCTGAGTGCCTCTAAGCCGTCACCTTCTCGCCCTTGGTAGTCTCAGTCAGACCCCCAGCAGGAATCTCTGCGTCGGTGTTCTCGAAGCTCTCGCCCCTCTTCATGCCGAGCTGGCGAGTGTCGTAGCCGTTTGCCTCCAAGTAAGCGCGGTAGCGCGCATCCTCGAGTGCAATAGTGTCCTGGCCGATGTGCGGCAGGCAGAAAATCGCAAGGGCGGCGGACAAGACGCAGAGCGAGGAAGATACCCAGAAGGGGTATTGGGCAGAGGCGACGGCGTTGTCGCCGCCGGCTGCCTGGATGTACGGGAAAACTAGATTGAGCTTGTTAGCTGGAGAATCTCTGATGAGTTTTGTGTTTATCGACCATCTGAAACTTACCCCATGTACCGACGAACGCGCCAATCTTGCCAATGGCCGCGGCGACACCGTAGTACTTGCCGCGAATGCCTGTCGCGCAGGTTTTTGCAGCAAGAAGGCCAATGTTGTTACCGGGACCGAACTCGCCGAGCGCCAAGAAGATGCCGTAAACGACGACAAAGCCGCCGACCATGCCGGGCTGGGATAGGTTGAAATAGTCGCCGGCCATGATGAAGCCGACGACGGCCTGCAGAAAGACGCCGAGGGCGAGAGCGTAGCGCGGCCCAAGCCAGTCGGAGGCCGGGGCGCCGAGCATGGTGCCCGGGATATAGAACAGGTTGATGACAGTGTTCCAGCCGAAGACGGTGGTGAGCGGGGCAGTCTCTCCGTACAGGTTGCTCAGGATTGTTGAGGAGTAAATTCCGAATGAGTAGGCGGAGAACTGATATCGCACGTTAGTGTAGCTCATCACAGAGAGCACGGCTTAACTTACATCATAGATGAACCAGATCAAGCTGACGACGAAGAGGCGCCATCCGTAAAACTTGAGTGAGAGAAGGTAGGGCGTCTTTGCGTAGCGCATGGAGTTCTTGGTCGACGCTTCGGGCTCCTTGACGAAGAGCCGAAGGGCGAAGAGGAACATGGGGAACACGACGCCGATGCCCAAGCTGGTGCGCCAGATGGTGCTGTAGTGGCCATTGTGACAAGCGGCTGCGACAACGTATGGCACGAATGCTATGCTCTAGTATTAGTATCGCCACATGCATCATGAAGACCAAGACGCTCAAGAACGAACCACCAATAACGAAACCCTAATTCGCAATGTTAGCAAAGATGCAATTGATGGTCAGTAGATGGCGAGATACGTACCCAATCAATCATGGTGTTCGTGAACATGATGAACCACAAGTTTCTCGAGCCCGACTTTAGCTCGCCGGTGGACTCTGCTGCGCCGACGCTACCCGCGGGGTACTCTCCTCCAATGCCGATGCCGACCTAAAAGCCATCGCGATGACGTTAACAATTGCCCTTCCTTCTGAGCGCGTGCGCTCGTTCCAGGCACCTCGAGCGAGCCAGATGTGACAACGGAGCAAGAAGCACCAGCCTCGTTCAAACTTACAAAGAATCGCCATGCGGCCAGGATGTTAAACATGCCGATATCGTCACCCTTGTAGTAAGACCCGGCGGCGAGCGCAGTGAAGACGAGCAGGATGACGGTCGACACGAGCAGCGAGTTGGTTCGCGACCAGTGGTCAGCGAGCCAGCCGAATGCGAGCTGTCCCACGACAGTGCCGGCAAATGCGATGTCACCGACGTACTTCTTGGCGTTGGAGTTCTTGTAAAGGTCGCCGTACTGCAGTGCGAGGATCGTGGTGACGGATCCGATGACCTATGTCCCGGGTCAATGACCATTCCTACAAGATGGCATGCGAAAAGCGGTTGCGCTCACGTTGTTGATGTAGCCGTCGGAGAAGAGACCGGCGCCGCAGGCAATGACGGGCACAATGGCTTTTCGGAACGGTTGGCGGGGCGCATCGTCGACGGCGACGGCCTCTTGCGCCGTGGCCTCGGACTCGGCCGACTTCTTTCTTCGGAAGTTGAGCATTGTCGCGGCTCTTTTTCTCGTGTAAGTGCTTAAAGCTGCGCGCGGTGTGTCTCAGGGAGATGGGCCCTACGACACTGCGACAGAATGAAGAGAACAAACGAGGGAGATGACGGCACAGACAAGATTGTGTGTGTGCGTGAGGTGGAGGAGAGGTGAGAGGTTGTGCGAAGCGGCGCGCAAAGGTTAAAAAGAATAGGCGCGACGAGTCAAGAAAGCGCAAGGGGAAATCAACATGGTATTTATTCGGACGATCACAAGCCCGTCGGGCCAGCCACAGCACAATCTGTCAACCAGAGGGCCTCTCTTCTCTTCATGTTGCTCTACGGTGTCTCTTGTTCCCCCCACTTACCACACGCCCTCGGAAGCAGCTCTGCTGTTGGTCGCTTTCCTTCTGTAGTGAGTAAGTGTTTGTGACGGACAGAAAGAGAGAGATAAACCTTGGGAATGCCTCGGGTGTCCCGTTCCACCCTACCTTGTTCCCCGGCGGACGGGACCCGGGTTGGCCCAATTATGGGCGGCCAGCCCCGATGCAACATAATCGAAAGGATTCTATGGGTCCCTCTCCCCTCTCTCACGAGTCACCTAGTGTACGGTTCCTAGAGCGATTCTTGGGGGGCAGACGAGTGGTCTGTTGGTTGTCTTTCGACGGAAAATAGATCCACACCGGATAACAGTTGCGGGCAAATACCGGGTTGTATGCTGATAAGACACGGTTATGCGGCAAGAGGGGGAGGAGTTTGGCGATTCCCTACGGAGTACATACACCCATTGGGACTTTTCGGTCTGGGCGTGGGCAACACATCGTACGCCGTTCACCTGAGCACGGGGAGGAACTGTGAAGAACCACAGAATCAAAGCACGGGGAGAGGATGTGGAGGAGGACGTGGAGGGGAGTGTGGGAACCCGATGTTACCCATCCGCTAGGCGACCTGTTGGTTCGTGCAGAGCTGCAGTAGTTCATGTGCTTTCTCGACTCGTCTCCCGCTTTCCACAGATTGATGAACAGGTGGCACAGATGACGCTGCGATGAGAGGAAGCACCGTAAGCCAGAGAAAAATGGTGGTCGCGTGTCATATTTCCTACAATAGCCAATTGTAATTCGATGAGAAAAGGATGCATCGCTAAGCTTTTTCCAAGCGGTCTAGCGCTTCCGGCAGCCCTAGGAGGCTCACTTCACTTGGCACTCTCCCGCCTGCTGCCAAGGCTTTTCCCATGCGACCTTGTTTGCTGAGCTAAGGTACGTTGGGGAAAATTGTTAGTGCAATTGTCGTCTGCCTCCAGCACTGTATGGTGACCTGCCTGTGACACATGAAAACTTATGAGCGAATACATTGACAACTTCTAACACGTGCTGCCTCTTCAAAGCGTCAGCAACCGAGACTAGGCCGACTGTTTCGTGAAACATACGATGTGAATCCTTACAACGTACAAGAACAACCAAAGAAGTGGACAGTAAGTCCGAAATTACAAAGACTACAGATTAGGTTCATTGGGTCGTGGGCAATAGAATCGGTCGCCGAACTGCCGGCATCCAAGGAGAATTTTCACAAATTACGCGGCTCAGGCATCTTCATGAGAGCACGTGGTCGGGTTACAGAGATCATTTTTTCAATTCACAAGCACTAGGGTGTATGAGAGAAAAGTTCCCTGCGTGTGCGGCCAATCCAAGGCCGTATTGCCCACCACGTGCATGCGGCGCCGACGCCCGTGCCGTCCTTTCCGGCCCGCACCGGCTTTCGGTCCTATGGCGGCGGGAGGACCCTCTTCTGCCTCCCGGGACCCGACATTCCCGGCGTGGAGGCGTTACCGAGGTCAATATTGGTTAGTATTTGGTATTCTAAGGCCGCAAATTTGAAGAAATTCCGATGTTTACGTGATGATTCGAATACCTCCAACGCGGTCATCGATCCTTAGATAGAATTGACATCAATTGTTGGCACCTTACGATGTATCCAGTCTCGGGTTAACTCATTCGCTGATTCCATTATGGTCGCTGAATAAGTGAGGGTGTCAAAATATCACACGTCCAACAATTCGCCAGAGGCTTACGAGCCCAAAAGAAAATGACCTCTAGTAGATCAAAGAGAGCAAAGGACGGCAGTCAAATATATATATACTCGGTGAGAGCGAGATCCATGTAAGAAAGCACGTAACAGAATGACAGCTTTGTCTGTGCCGAATATGCTAGTCGTATTGCTCGCATTCGTATCCAAACAGTCACTTCCTTCGTACGGAGCACTCCGTAAATCCATAGCACTAAAAGACAATTAGATTAACAGAGTCAGTCGCCTCAAGAGTCGTCGATCAATGCCAAATACTACTTGGCCTAAAATTTTGTCGTCTAAGTAAGATTCAGAAATACCATCCGGTTCAATCTCACCTTGGCAATTATTCGGCGAGCTGGATGGTTCCCTCCGGCGCACTCATATACGCCCGCCCTGTATACGGCTGCACGGATACACCGCCGGATCTACCTTATTATTTAACGTCTACATAACTGTCGCGAGAACGACGCCCGTTAATCGAGGGCGGCAATCAAGCCTGGTACACTACGATAAGAATCTGTAAAACCGCTCTGGTAAAGACCTGAGTGCAATAAGAAGGAATACATGAACTTCTTGATGCAAAGACGCCTCGAGGGATCACGACTCTCTAAATCGTCAGAAATTAATAACAGATGCGACTGGCCCTGGTATTCAAAGGGCGATTTTGTATTCCATCTGTGTGACCGGTACTCATAACACAAATTTGCGACTATTTTGCGAGTAAATGAATGACCATGGTTTCAGGTTAAGATTGAGGAAATAGAGTTATCGTCAATAAACTACCATGACTCAATAAGTAGGTCCTTCACATTAGTGTCACAAAGCTTCGATACGGAATTTTCGTATTCCGCACTGGTCTGGTTGGTCTGATCACCAGTCTTCATCTCATATATATAAAATCGCATGCAAGTATCTCGCTGTTGTCAATCTGGAAGTATCATTCAAGTTCTGCTTCCTCTTCATCGTCTTTCACTGAAGCTTTACACGTCGCTCTTTTACATTTCCTCAACAGTCATTCATCATGCATGCGTCCACTGTCCTCGCCCTCCTCACAGCCTCTGCTGTCCAACTCGTCGCCGCGGGTGGTTTCGCGTCGACATGCAGTGACATGACCTACTCGGGTACCACGTTCACCGCGCAGTGCAAGAACAACTTTGTTGATCCCTACTCCGAGAAGGCCCCCATCGACTTGTCAAAGTGTCTTGCCAATGTTGGGGGCAAGGTTGTCGTATGTCTATCCCCCTTTCATGCTAGGTTCTATGAAAATTCAGAGTTCAATTGACTAACTCTTCAACCATGCATAGTGCCGTCCTAAGAGGTAAAGTCCTTTCAGAAGATCAGGGTGACTGAGACACCCCCCCAAATACTGATATATCTTTCGCTAGCCCATCCTTCAAGTTTTGCGACTGCGGTCTTGGCAGTGACAAGAAGATTTTGAACTGCCGTTGCACCGACTCTACTGGAACTAAGAAGCCTTCTTCTCTGAACCTCGGTACGTACATGCATTGTGTCCTAACTAGCTAGATGCCTGCAAAGCTTACAATTCTATAGATACGTGTCTGACCAACAACGACGGGAACTTGTCTTGCTAAAGCCTCGTGCCGGCTACAGCTGAATTTGATTCGAATTCATAGAGTGAAGGGGAAACTTCAAGGCCCAAGAGACTGGGAGCTAATCGAGAGATATATACTTTATAAGAGAGTCAGAAATTAAACGATCCAGACATGTTTTAAGCGGAATGTGTATTGTGTGGGCTGCTTAAGAACTCAATTAAGTATCTAATCGAAGTATGTCTATAGGCGAGCCTCAGTATCTTCAAATCCCTTCTTTTGAACAGGTATGTTCTTTTCGCCTGTCCGTTGTATCCAGCCGCGTCCACACCAGACCACGACCAGGCTTGCCCTAAGCGTAGAACTCAGGCCAATCTTATTGTCTGTTCTCGTGCCCTTTGACCGTCACCTCCTCTTTTACGCCTGCCCGTCTGACTGTCCCAGGGGACGAACGAGCGCGACAAGCTGCTGTTGTGTCTAACTAGTCGAGACCTCGCCAATCTTCCGGCTGGCTGTAGGGGCTGAGAATAAAGAGGCTGTCTGCAATAGCCCATGCAGTGCAGTGAATATGGCCCTGCATCCTGGTCCTCGGTCCACCAGGCGTGCCAGCTGTGCGGCGTCGGAGAGCTGCGAGCTAGGCACTTAGAGATTAGGCCAGAAAGCGTGCCCAGGTTTCCGCTTGTTGATGCGAAAGTGGAAGCGCCTCGATGCCGCTGGTATGTTGCACGCCAGCTCCACTCCCAGACTCTCTCAATCTCAGTCCAGCCATACGGAGTTGGGTAACATCCTGACTCACGGTACCTAAGTTACCAATATCACAGCGGCTTAGCAGAGATTCGTAGTCAATTCACCACGAGACATGGGCTCAAGCCCACGACCGACCCTTGGTATTGACTGTATAGCGCAGGCTCAGACCCGCTCCAAATACCTCGGTCTAGGTCCGTCCCGCATCCGAAGTTCCCAATGCCATGTGAAATCAGCTGTCATTCCGATGAATGTGTACTTGATCATGCCTCCTCAGATGGCTTAACATCGTACTCGACTTCCGTCCTGATCACGTACTTGGCGCCCTTTCTCACACCAGTGCCTTCGTGAAGAGGCGCACCCTTTGCATCTCCATGCGGGAAGACGGCAACTCCGCCCATGACCGGTCGCACCGGGTACGCATTCAGCGTACCTTCCCGCGCCGCTGGAAGGAAGTATGTGGTCTCACCGCCCTCAAACTCGTCATTCAAGTAAATGAGGAACGTGAAAAGGGAGCTCTGCTTCTTATCTTCGGGCGATGCATCGTAGACATATGTGTCGTCTGGAAGAATTCCAGAAGGCGGCCAGGCACCGTCAATATGCGCGCGGTACTCGGCTCCGGGGACGTAGCGGTATACGCGGAAACGTCGGTTGAGGCCGCGCACCTTTCGTCCATCGACTGACTGGGGAACAAAGGAAGAGACTCTAGACCAAAGCGCATCGTGGAAGGTTGTATCAACGACCCAGTAGAAGTTGTGCGCAAGAATGCTAATGTCCCCATCCTCACGAAGAGGAGCATCTGGGAGGAAGTTTACAGTTTCGCCGGCGGTTATGATCGCTTTGCATTCATCTACGGAGAGAACGTCTTTCAGTAGGCTGAGCCCTGGCACGACCGGGTGTGCATGTGCTGTTACTGGTGGCCTTTCGTCGAGGAGGGGTATCGTGTTCGGCGCGGTCGTGTAAAGGAGTGCGTCGTGGTGGTTGGGCGGTTTCCGAAGTGGGCCGGGGGTTCGTTCGATGACGCGAAGAGACGGTGCCAAATTCGCCGGCGCTGATTCAAAGATTGTCTTGTCAAGTACAGAGGCGTATACCTGAAGGGATGGCGTGGTGGGACGGAGATCCCAGGTGTCCTGCAAGGCGATTCCGGGTGTAGAAGAGAGTGGCAAAGGCATGGCCTTGGGGTTACTATCGGAGTGCCCACAAGCTCGCAAGACGGCATCAAGGACCAAAAGTCGCTGCTTATCTCTTTCAGTTCTCTGTATTGTAACACCATCTCCCTCCCCTTCAGGCAATGTGGATAGGCCGCTTATGACGTCTAGGTCTCGCACCCAGCGACACAGCGCTCCTAGCTTCGGCTCCTGGCCACGGATTCTCATTTCAGATAGCAGTATTCTGGCATCATCGTATTTCTCGTCGGTGAGAGCACCGGTAATTCGTGCTGTAAGTCCAAGATTTGTACCGGCTGAAGCAACCAATTGTCAGTTCCTGGCAGGTAGCGACATCGTATGATATGGGGTCTACACACGGGCATTGTTGACACCACTGGCGCAATTCTGACGGAAGTCATAGACGGCAACGCGGAGATCTCGGCATTGCTTCGATTTGATAAGATTCGGGTATTTGGCGAGGGTGTTCAACGTGTCAATCGCGATGTCGAGTTCCTCGTCCGATATGACCGTCTGGAGGCTCTTGGGCTCGAGGTTTGAGGTGGTGTTGTCGTCGCTGTCAGGTGGCGTGACCGTCGTCGTCGTTGCGGTTTTGGGAGCTTTGCGCGGAAGCTCGTCCTGCGCGTTCTGTTTTCGCTTCTTCGCAGCTTTTGATTTCGCCATTGTTGTAATGTTTCAATCGTGATAGAGGCGTTGGAAGTCGGACGAAGAAGTTCAAGGAAGGTGGCGTTCAGTGGGCTGAGATTTTGGACCAAAGCTACCAATGCACCGCCAGTCCCAGGGTCTTGCCCCGCCACGCCCACCGAGGGGTTCGGCCAATCGCGTAGGTAATTGCAACCTGAGGCATCAAGTTCTAATCCCGTTGTGGGGCCGCCCAGTGTCCGGGCGGATCGGATGGGTCCGGGGTACCCTTGGCTAGGCGTCCTTTCCCCCGCACATTATTCATTATGCTCAATCTTGAGGTGGCACAACAATGAGGAGTACTCTGTACGACGACAACAACCTGCTAATGCTGTCTCAATGAAGCATTGTCTCGCTATGGTAGCAGATACTTTCAACTCTAGCCCAAGGCACAACCTTTAGAAGTATCCTCATCACTGCAATGAAGACCCGAAATTCTTCAAACAACCCAAATGATCAGGGTTCTTATGGCATTCGTGAGGACTACCACATGCAGTGTAGTATACATAGGTGAATATAATACCCAGCTTCAGAAGGAGTGTACCTGATTCGTATTCACATCGGCGGCTGAATGCCGAAAAGGAACCGATCTGAGCAGTCAGTTGGTGGGATAGAAATTGCAGTCTGCTTCTGCACAACAAGCGAATTGGGTTCAGTTTCTATTTTCCTCAAGGAGCTCTGACCTGCAACGCCAAAGCCGGTGCGGGGCCATGCGGGTGTTGACCATCTCGAAATCCGACGCGGAATTGTGACCGTCTGAACACCAGCAGTCGCAGCTCTAAATCTGTCAAAAAACGTCATGGGGTGAACTGTCAAGGAGCATATAGCTGCATAGAATGCGGACCCGCTATGCTCATACGAGGAATGAAGCGACGCACATGCATAACAGACCAAATCGAGAGGTCCACACAGCAAGTTGCAACGTCTGGCTGCGTGTGTTACGCAAGGCACATTCGTACAACATCTGAATTGAACAAACCCTCGAGGCGAGGCAGAGCGGAGCGGTCTCCATAGAACTCTGTGAGGCCGACTAGACTAACAAGTAGCAGCAAGGTTTTCATGTCCACGGACCGCGACGGGCCCCGGAAAATAGACCCGAATCTTTAGTAATTTTCGGGAGCTGTCCTAAGTAGGCAAGCTTTTCAGTTGTTTGCCATTGTCCGCTCACCCGCTCTAGGTCTGAGTAGAGAAACTGAGTTTCCTAGTCAGAGTCTAAGGGTGGCATAGCCGTCGATCATGAAGCTTCCCCAGATGCCAGTTCACACCCTCGCACAACAGTGGGTTTACAAGCACCAATCAGCGAAAGTCGGTTGATGCTTGACGTAAGTCGTACACAAGAAATAATACCGCGGACATTGGCGGACATTCGTGGAGTTGGTTACACCTTTTCCCTATCATTCCCGCACCAGACCCGAGCGCTAAGGAGTACTCCGTACAGCAACAGAGCAAACAAGCCTCTAACTGCCGAATCCTGGACGGGTAGCAAGTGCCGGGATCTAGATCACGAGTGGGGGTCGACGTACACCGGAGCCGGGCCAAGCCGGGCGAGTTATGCACGAAATGTGCAAAGCACGGAGACCATCCGACCCACGGTGACGCTCGCCCGCCGCTACACTCCGCGGAGGCTTAGGTTTATCTCCAGATTCTCCACAAGTATGTAACGGTATGCCGCAGTAGTCCTACGAGAGATCGTCGTTTCATAGGGCGTTCGGCTTTCAAGGTTTGAACCGAATTCCGTCGCTTAAATCAAGCACGAGTTGATAAAAAGTGCCTTGGTGCCAGACTCGAAAACAGGCAGATGAGCTGCCACCTATCAAGTTCATCCCGTCTGTAATCATCTTGACGGTTTCAAGTTCCGCGGAGAACCCACGCTACTCAACATGTCGGACCTCAGTACTGGCTTCACAGCCCAAATCCTCAATATCCATACCCTCTGTTCAGCCTTTGCTCTTGTTATTACTCTGGTACGTGATGGTTTGCAATCCTTCAATCCTAGTGACCAATTGGATTTCGCTGTAGCCCTCAACGCTGACCGCATCTGACCACTCATCTAGGGCGCCGCCTACCTCTTCGGGACTCTCATCTACAACGTTTTCTTCCACCCCCTTCGCGTATACCCCGGACCAAAGCTCTGGGCAGCCTCGCGCATCCCCTTCACTCGCGCCACCCTCTCTGGCCAGG